AAATTTTTAGGGTGTTTAAAAATAAAGTAATTGATGTTTTTTTGTTTGTTATGTCATAATGAGAAATGTATGAATTAAATTCGTGTTATTTACGGAATATTTCGTATAATTGAAAATCCGGATAATCGATTTTAAAGTAAAATCAAACAATAATTATATATATATATATATATATATATATATATATATATATATATATATATATATATATATATATATATGTATAAATGATACTTCATATGAGAATGGCATGACCTTTGGTAAGATCTGTGACTGTCACATGCATAAACAGATTATATCTGTACACGTGTAAAACTGTGTGTATATGTTCTGGCTTCGATAAGTTTTTTTTTTTTACTTTTTCGAAATTTAAATTTTATACCCATCTCTATTTATTGATTGCACTTTGGAAAGAGAGGCACCTTTGCGTTATACAACTGGTTTTTCAACATTATCACGGGATTGGATAAAATCAGATTCCATGTAGGCAATTCCGCGGTCAACAGTTAGTCGTTAGTAAATGTTTCAAATTCGATCATTAGCATAGTTAATTATAGTTAACCGCAAACACAAAAAATATCCATAAAAACTTGACGCGCGACTTCTGCCCGCGAATAAATTTTGATGACGTCATTTTTAGTCCAAATAACCGTTGTTTTTTTTTTATTCAATTGGCAAACGTCACATTGATTAAGAGATCTTTAGAGATCTATTTATTTAATTTATATAGTAAATTAAATAATAATTTAATTAAATATAAGAATTAAATATATTAATAAAAATTAATTATACTCATTAATTTGACTTAATTAAGTATTAAATTTAATTAATTTAAAGTAAGTACTCCGAATAGTACTTTTGACAATAAATAAAAAAGTATGATTAAGTTTCTTGTTTACCTAGTTTGAACTATGTGTGATGGCAGTGAAATTACATGGTATTGAGGCGTAATATCTAAGGCCTGGAAAGTCAAAAAGCTACTATGAGTGACAAAGCGTATTCTTTAATATTATAAGTATTTACTGATTTTACCTGTAGGCGATAGTCGTTAGTTATTATTGTTTCTCAAATGGAATAAAAAAAGAACATCTTATGTCAATTGAAACAACTGCCTAAAATTATGGTTAAATGATAAAATGAAATCTGGTAGAATAATTAATTCTATTATTATGGTTGACGTATTTTTTTTTATACAAAAAAAAAACAAGCTGACGGCCCACCTGATGGAAAGTGGTATTCTTTGAACTGACATAATTCTATTACATTATAATATCTATATTTATATTTATAAAAATGTTTCATTTGTCATGGAAATTTTGTTACATGGAAAATTTTTAGGCTTTAAATAGTAAGTATATTAAATTATATAATAGTTTAATATATTTTTATTTGTTTGTTATGTCATAATGAGAAATGTATGAGAATTCAAAGTTTGTGTCTTCATTTAATATAAATTATAACAATGTAATTTTTGTGTACAATAAAGTATAAATAAATAAATACATTTTATAGATTTTAGGATGCAGTGTGGAATAGGCTTTTAAATCAATTTCTAAAAAATAATTATATATATATATATATATATATATATATATATATATATATATATATATATATATATATATATGAATGGGCCGGCTATAACATCACAGAATACCGACGCTAAGTGGTTGCACTTTTATATTCCGATGGTGAATGGCATCCCATACCCATCCCATTCCCTTTCCTATTCCTAAAATCCTTTCCCCAACCCCGTCCCCCTATCTTACAACACGCAACCATGGCAGTGGAATTAAAAAAAAATTATATCTGTAACCATGTTGCTGGAGAATCCTCTCTCGAGCAACCACGCTCGGGTGTGTGTATATGTTTGGAACCAAGGGCAAACGAAGCAAGATTTCTACGATAGCTCAATGTACTTCTGCAATATTTTTCTACTTTTTCACCACCACCTAGAAACGGCGCGGCCGGCATTTAAAGACACAGATATCCTCTCCAAACGAAACTTCATTTCTATATAAACTTGAACATTGTTTTGTTTCGCGTGCCGGTGTATGCGCGTATGTCAGAGAGGATCTTAGGTGCGGATTTATATGGCTGCGCGTAACTGGTTTTCTATGCAATACATTATCACAGCGGTAACATCGAAACCGACCAACTCATTGAGCACGTCCAAATGACTACAGATTCCCTGCTCGAACAGATTCCTTCCGCTGAAGTCGTGATTCTTGGCGATTTTAATGCCCACCATACCGAATGGCGTTCACGTACAATGTATGCGGGAAGATCTGTTCATGACTTTGCTTTGGCTTATGGTCTGACGCAGCTTGTTTCCTCGCCTACGCGAATACCTGATGTGTTGGACCATTCACCTAGTTAACCTTCTGCAAACACAAAAAATTCCGTCGAAGCTCCGCTGACGCGCGATCACTGTCTGGTGCGGAGCGAATCAATTTCCACCACGTTCCACGGGTGACGTCGTGTTTGGCACTACAGGTCGGCAAATGAGATGCGGATTTTTATTTTTACCCATGGAGGCAAACGTCACATCGCCAATTCCATCGCCGATGTTTTCAGAATGATTATATTTATTTAATTTATATAGCCCTAAATTAAATAATAATTTAATTAAATATAAGTCGCGAGATCCTAAATATATTAATAAAAATTAAAAGAGTTATACAGCATTCAGAGCATATTGGTAGAATTGGCAAGAGATTAAATTCGGGGTAATTAATTTAAAAGCTGCACAAGGGAATTTCTGTCAATCATCTTTTTTGCAATAAATAAAAAGAGAAGTATGATCTAAGTCTCTCTTGCATCGAACTCGACGTTGGATGACGGGGAGAAACCACCGCCGACCATCCCGCGTTGTATGTGTTAAATTCACGCAAAGATCAGGCGTGAAAAATCCATAAGTCAGTGGGCCCGATGGCATTCCTCCAATTGTGCTTAGGACGTGCGCACCAGATAGCGCGTCTTTTTCGGCTCTGTTACTCATCAAGTCCCAAAGTTTTGGAAGACTGCTGATCCGATCCCTAAAAAAGACAAACTATAGGCCCATAGCTATCACCTATTCTCGAAAGTTAATATTGTTAACCATCAACTGCTCCGGTACTAATTTCTCAGATCGCCAGTACGGCTTTCGACGTTGTCGGCTGGTGATCTTTTAGTTTATTTAATACACCGATGGGCGGTAATCGAAAAAAGAGGCCTTAGCTGTTAGTCTGGATATGCGAAAGCCTTGATCGGGTGTGGCAAAGAAATCTCAAAACTACCTTCGTTTGGGTTGCCTGCGAGATTGTGCAGTGTCGCCAGTTTTCTTAAAATTTAAGGTGTAGTTAAGCATGATAAAATGTGAATGCTGGTGTCCCGAATGATTCTCCGACACTGTTTCTTCTGCATATCAATGATATGTTACAGATCAGTGATATTCATTGTTATGCAGACGACAGTACATTGCATTATACACCGGTCGTCATGATCACATCCGATGAACAGACTTGTATCTCGAAACTTCACAAAGTTTGATCTAATGTTTGTTCACTTTAACCCTAAGAAGACACAAGTCTGCGCGTTCACCGCAAAAAAGACACCGTTTGTCGTATCTCCTTACTTTCGCACTTCCCTCGATAATAAGTCGAGTATATTCTTGGCGTCGATATATAACGTCCAGTTTAATATATTTAGCTTCCAAAAAGTTATTTCAATAGCATTTCACGCCAGAAAACCGCCTGAAACTATATAAAGCTCAAGTGAGGCCACACATGGAATACTGTTCTCACCTGTGGGCAGGAGCGCCACAGTACCAACTCCTTCCGTTAGACCGACAACGGGCTCGAATTGTTGACGATCGGCGTCTTACTGTCCGGCTCGACCCACTGGAACTGCGTAGAGATGTTGCATCTCTGTGCATTTTCTAATTTATAAATTATAACAATGTAATTGATTGCTGCAGATTTTCACCATCGTACAAATAAATAAATACATCTTAAGTGGCGGTCCTCCACCGTGCGTTTTTCAAGGCACTTTCTCCCACGCACAACCAGTCTTTGGAATCAACTTTCAGCAGCAGTATTTCCGAAAAACAACATAACCTCAAGAAAACCATATTCCTTTTTAAATAAGAGCACACCTGCAATGCCGTAGGTGTGTGGGTGATCATGATATAAATACTATTAGCCGCATGAAAAAAAAAAAAAAAAAAACATAATATTTTTCATTGATTCCATACATAATTTTTTTAAGAAAAGAAATTAAGATAAGTCTCTATAAGTCAATCTACAGTCGATGTTTAAAATATACACAAAATTTTACATACTGTTAAAATCCTATTAATACTAGATACAAATATAAAAGTTTTTAAAGATATTTGGATGTCTTTCACTCGATTACTCTTAAACAACTGAACAAAATTGAATTAAATTTAATACACAGATAGGTTACATCCTAACTTAGAATATAGGTAATTTATATAATAATTTAATGAATGAATGAATATTTATTTACATATATATTTCGCCATAATTAGGCATGCAAAATTTAAAACCTAAAAAATATAAATGTTGATTGAATGAAACATGTCAAAGTAATAGTAAGGCAAAGCCACGAGAGACAACTAGTAATCTCTATCTATCTAGTAATAAACAGAATCGACATCCATTACAACAAACCGTTTATTGTAAATTTTCGGTGTCATATTACATTTAAATTCGAATAGGTACATACTAACAAAAAGCTATAGAAATAGGATCGACAAAATAACAAATTACCCCATTAAAAAGAAGTGACACTTCGACTAATGATTACCTACGCACACCTAACAACTATCATTGAATGCAAGCACATCATTAGCTTAAATATATCGGCAAATCAAAACGAATGGCAACATTTTAAATTACCTCCTAGGTTTTTGCGTTTTTTTTTTCAAACCACTCGCTTTTTGTTGCCAAGCTAGCATTGTATGTTATCTGAGAACTATAAATAAATTACTTTTGAAGGCTTAGTATATATAAATAAGTCGGATATTTAATTTAATAGAACAGATACAGACGTGTGCTTCCAAAGCGTATATCGTGAATTTTGTGTTGACAGAGTAAAAATGAATTCTTTTCTCTCTTTGGCCGTTTTGACGATTGCGTTAAGCTATGTTACAGTAAGTATTTTATATTTATATTGAAATAAATTAAATTTGATGCATTTTTAAGAAATTATTTTTTTGCGATTGTTCATTAAATTATTTATTAATAAATATAATATTTATTAAATTAGTTATTTAGTTTTATAATCTACGTTTAAAAAAGTATGCAGCAAGTAATTATTTAATATTTTTTAAATAATAAAATAACTTGATTTTTTCAAATTAAATTTACAACAGTATAGTATTTATGTCGTAATTTAATAATGAAAGAAATTATTTAAAAAAATAATCAATAGTTATTAATGATTCCATAATATGTATAAAAAATATAATAATAACTAGATATTTTTTTCATCATCATCATAATTTGTTAATTATATATATAAACTTAGTAAAAGTTTTATATAATTTATGTTTTAGATTAAAATAAAATAAAAATTGTATGCACTATATTTAATTAAAATTATCTAAATGTTTTTATTACATGTATATAATATCTATCAATTTGGATGAAAACCGTATTTTTTATCCTTATTTACAAGCCTATAAGAGCTATTGAAATATTTTGTCACTTTCTTTCAAATTAAGAATTTAGGGCCAATAAAGATGATATACTTTAATATTTTTTAAACAAATTTGAATATAATAAATAATAAATTTAAGTTTACTTCAATATTTTTTCTACTTTTATTTAATTAAAAGATTTTGTTATAAATTATCGCAGAACACGTTTTAAATGAAATTGATACCAAATCGAAACATTTAATTCATTAATCTGTTAAATTTTTATTTTTACCACTACTGGTCACCAGTAAACTCTTTTATGGTCAAGTTAAACAGTTGTTTGTTCACTTATTTATTAAGTTCTATTAAAACAGATTATGGGTAAATTTATTTATTTATTTATTAAACCTAGATAGTGTAAATGGCGGACTTAACACAATATGGCGTTACCTATCATTCGACAATAGACATGAATAACAGAAAATATATTTGACGATGCAACGTGATAAACAATAATAAAACAAACTAATTAAAAAATAACATTCATATAATAAACATATTACCTATACATAATATACAAAATGTGCCCGAAATTAGATTTTAAACTATATTTTGCTAACTTTATAGGCCTTAACCCAAGAAGAGTTGGATAAAGTCCGAGAGCCAATGCTCAACTTTATTAAAGAGTGCAGTAAAGATTATGGCGTATCCGACGATGAGTTGAAAGCGATCAAAGAATCCGGCAAAGTCGATGGCGTCGAGCCTTGTCTTATTGGCTGTGTGTTTAAGAAAGCTGGTTTTGTAAGTACACTTAATGTAAATGATTTATAAGAGATTCAAATTAGCGCATTGATTTAGATAAATTCGTAATAATTCAGATAAATTACCAAATTTACTTGAAAATTTTTTTTGGATGATAATGAAATGGTAACCTCCTCTGCGCTGTCGGTATATACTAGGGGGTCACCGATAAATTGAACTGAATTCAACGATAAATTAGTCACGATGATTTCCAGGAGGAGGTTCGTGGAGGTCGACCTGGTAAGGTATATTGATAGCAACGGGGACTAACCTCTCCATTACTAACAATACCTTCTAACCTAATTTCCAATTTACCTGAATTATCTTGACGTTTCGAGTTAGTTTATCTAAATGATTGTGTTAATGCCCATCTCTTATAAAATATAAAACAAAATAGAAAGTATAAAAGTATAAATCATAACAATACAGTATAAATCATATATAATATTACAGTATAAATCACCAAACCTTCAAGAAAAGAGTATGTTCTTCCTTAAAAGACAGTATACCTGCAAGTTTTTATTTATTTATTTTATTTATTTATTTATTTATGCTTTATTGACCACATTACAAAAAAAAATGTCTGGTACAAAAGGCGGACTTAATACTATATAGCATTCTCTCCAGTCAACCTTTGGCAAAACAGAAATTTTATTATGCGGTGAAAAAAAAAATTACAACACATACAATATATTTACCATCAGTTGAGCATCATGCTTGTTTGCCCTTTGTGCTATAAAAAAAAAAACAACATTATCTTTCTGTCGTAATTCAAATGGTACGGAGAAGGCGTAATACGTTTTTCTCTTCTATTGTATTTGTAGTATTTACTTAGTACTTTACTCTCTTTTTGGTTATATAATTTTTTTTTCACACTTTACACATGTTGATACATATAGACTCAATATCCATAACAACATAGTCTTCAGTGATGTCAACATATGCGGGGTATTATGGGCGACACAAAATACTCAATAATGCCCATGGTAATGCTCACGTTTACAGGCGACGGTTACCACTTTCCATCAGGTAGGCCGTCAGTTTGTTTGTTATTCTAAGTCGCATAAAAAAAGTAGACGCCGGTTAAGAATTTAACCCCTTCTAAAATCAATATCATTATTGTCATTTTAATACATTGACTACTGATTTTAGATTGACGGCGATGCAAAATTCTTGCCTGACAAAATTAAGGAGCTGAGCAAGAAGTACTTGAGCAACGAAGAGGATATTGCCAAGTTTGGTACTATAGTGGACACTTGTGCTGCAGGTGATTTTAAACAATAATCATTACGTAGAATCGTTATTTATCTACCTATCCAGTTTAAGGGCTGCGCTCTTGTCGGTGGAACTCTTGTCACTCACTACGATTTTCAGGGAGTCTCTTCACCCCTTGATACGATGCAACACCAACTTTGTTCTTGATCTGCCTGATGTAACTATGCCTTGGTCTTCCTCTTCCCTCTTTCCTTTCTATCTTATCTTCTATTATAATGTTCATAAGTTCGTCGTAACGTATCAAATGTCTTAACATTTTTTTTCTTCTTACCTCTATAGTTCTTATAAATTGTCTCTTTTATTCGTTATTTATATTATACTTATATACTAAAATTGTAACTAAATATAGTTCGTACATAGAAAATATTTAAGAAATGTTGAAATATGAAGGTTTGCAACTAATAGATGCGAAAACAATAATTTTTTGAAATTTTATTACTCTGTATATTTGTATGTTTGTTTGTAGTGGCATCACTTAAAAACTACTGCATCAATTTGGATGCGGTATTCACAGTTGTAATCCTGAAGATATAACTTAAAAACTGGTGTACCCTTTATCTCGATACGACATCTAAATGTGCTAATTTTCATTGATTTTAATTGGAAAAAGCTATTTTACTATAAATTGAGGGATAGGACAGTTTTTATGTTCATAGAAAAAAAAAATATCCGGCAGCAGTATAGGGTAAAATAAACATAAAAATGTAAATTATAAATGTAAATTTTATCTATATATATATTTCAGCAAACGACGAACAAGTAACCGGCGGTGACCCAGCGTGCATTAGATCCAAACTGGTACTGGAGTGCTATGCTAAACACAGGGAAGAATTGGTAAGAACTTTATTAATGTCAATTTATTTATTTATTTATTGATTTATTTATAGAATCACCAACATAATATCCAGCAAAATATTTCATTACAACACACTAGTGGATTACGGCTAACTATTCTAACGTTTAGAGGCAACCACAGCACGCTTTGTGTTTAAAAAATATTTAAATAGAATTAAATTATTAAATGTTATCAAATGATTAAAAATATTAATAATTTTCATTTATAGAGACTGAATAGATGTTAAGAGACTAATAGAGAACGACTTCTGCTACTAATTTCACATGACATACATACATTTAAACATACATACATGGATATTTATAAATTACCATCAAATCATCTGCATTTCCTGTTACAAGGCATAGTATTAGATATATACATTACAGTATATATATATATATATATATATATATATATATATATATATATATATATATATATATATATATATATATATATATATATATATATATATATTTATTTATATAGTATATACAGCGGTTTGGGATTTTAGTAGCATATGTTCGATTCTCATGTTGAACATATAATAAACCTATTGGTGTAATAAATGCAAAGGTTTATATTGATCGATCGATTGATCGATGGATCGATGTTTATTACTCTTTCATGCAAAAACTATTGAATGTATTTGAATGAAATATGGTACAGGAATAGATTATATGCTAACTTAGGACAAAGGATACTTTATGTATTAATTCACGCGGATGGAGCCGCGGGATATAACTATTATAATAATTATTTATTTCAAACAATGTACTGTGTAAAATCGTATAACAGACTACAAAAATATATACATACATACATGAAAGTCATTCGATATTTTAAATACTTATTACAGCTTGTTATATATATGTATATATAAATATAAATTCAGTCGCAGCGGACGTAAACGCGATCGATCTACCATATAGAGATCACATACAGATGTTAGCTCATTTTAATAGTGAGGTATCAAAAATGGGTGGGGTGAGCGATCTCAGTTTTACTAGTCTCAGTACGGGAGACGTAACACCTTTTCAAAAAACATAAAGTATTTTGTTTTTTTTTTCAGATCAAGGTAACCAATTAAACGTCTATGAAGTAGATGCCCGATGAAACTAGTTGACTGATATAAACATCCAAGTGGAACAACTAAAAGAGATTCTAAATTTAAAATTCAATTTTTTCATCTTGATTTTGAATTTGGAACCAATACAGGACAAATAATTTGATATTATTGTATTAAATAAGATTAGTTGTAATAAATGATTTAAAAATATTACCTCGTTAATTTTTTTTTTATTTAAACTAAGTGTGAGAAGTAGTGTGATTAGAGAGAAGTGTGGACTGAGAGACGTTGTAGTGACTAACATTAAAATGGAAATGTTGTATTGGTTTGGCCATTTGAAGAGGAGAATGAAAGAAGAATTTTGAAAGAGATGTAACAAGTACATATGAATGGAAATGTCGGTATAGGTCTTATATATGTCGAAGAAGGGCTGAAGAATGCTGAAGAAGGGTCAAATTTAAAGTACCCATAAGCGCGTACGTGTATGAATAGATGATAGAACGTGGAAGAAGCAAAGAAGATTTATCTGAATAGTATTTAATGTTTCATTGTTCTATCTGAAATTATATAGATAGAGTGTCTTCATAGAAATGCTTCGAGAAAAACTGGTCAACTTTTTCATACAATTTTGCGTATTAAATAGTTATGAGTCATTCCTTTTTAACTTCTATATTTATTTTGCCTTATAATTTCTGCATCTTTTTAATGCGTAAACACTCATTTTGTTTATTAAATCATAAGTCAAGACATATGCGTAAGTAGGTATATACAATACTGATAAAAAAGTTTTTTTTTACAACACGTTTTTTTTGGTAAGTGACTACAACACACCCATGATCAAACGAGGTGTGCATGCTGCTGCTTGCCTGATGATTTCAAAGAATGATTGTGCGTGAAGAAAGTGTCTTGAAAAACGCACGGTGGAAGACCGCCACTCGTCCAGATGATTGGGATGAAACTTTAGTTTGTGGCGGGTTGTACCGTGGTGAAATTCAGCTGCAGGTATCAATCCGAACAATTCCTCAGAACGCTTCCCATGATAAATTCGGTAGAAGATGCACTGAGTTGACCCGCTTTTGAGATTTGATGCTCTACCTATATAATATAAGGTTTCTGCCTACCCCGATAGAATACAGATGGTTAAAGTCAACGTTTATAGGACTTCCTAGTCATGGTTAATGAGACACGTGTCTTGAATCCCTTAGATTGGATTAGGAGGTCAGGACTCGTGAGAAATACTAGTCAAGTAAAGTATAGGAGAAAGAAGGTACAGGAAAGAAGAACTATATACAGAGTCTTCTTGGTATATGATCTTCATCCTTACTAATATTATAAATGGGGGAAAGGGATTGTTAATAACGGAGACTGAGAATCCCATTGCTAGCAATATATCCAACCAGGTCGACCGCCTCGCGGTTCTCCCTGGAAACTATTGTGGTTTATTCCTGATGAATTCATCATGATGGGCTAATTGGTCTGTTTTCATTCTCATCTATCACCCTTCACTGGTGCTCCGCCAGCGTATCCCGTTAGCGCAGGCGGGGTTACCATACCATTTTCACCCATTAAATATTATAAATAAAAATGTGTTTGTTCGTTTGTTGTTGTCTTGGTTCTTTGACGATTGTTAAAGCGTAACAAAACAATTAATCACTACGAATTTTGTTATATACGTACTATATGGGATGGATAGTAGATAGATAGTAGGATATAGTCTACTTTTATCCCGATCAGTGAACATATTCCTACCAGAGGAATACTGTACAAAAGTCGTTAGCTTGGGTACCTCTGTCCGACTCGTGTTTCAACCGTAAAGCAGTTGTGTTTGCATTGCTGTGTTTCGATTTGAATTTACAGGGTGGAATAACACCTCTGTCCTCAGGAATGGCAATCGTGTTTCAAACAATGGGTCCGTCAGCTTGTTTAGCCATTCCATCAGTTGTATAAAAAAAAAAAACGTAACACACACAGTAGTTAAAAAAAAAGTTTTAATAATTAATACTTATGTTTAAATGTAGAAATCTAATAATTATCAGAAACGGTAAACATTAGGGATTAAGGGAGCTCTTATGGTGGAAGGATGGACAGCAGCGTCCCTCTTAAAACATCACCAAAGCCTTACTGCAGTTGCCAAGCCACTCATCAAGCGCAGCAACAACTGACAAAACCCCCCTTAGGGAGAGGCCTAGTTCCAGCAGTGGACAATTAAATAAAAAATAAAATATTTTACAAGAGAGTGCTAAAAGCATCTAGAACTGTCTCTTTTCTAAATAGAACATAATATATCTTTTACTTCTTGGTAGTAAGGATTATTTCAAAGGAGAAAGTATAATTTTTTTTTTAATTTTGATCAAAAATGTAAAAGTTTGTAAGAACGTTTATTGTGGTACAGATTTGAATTGGTACAAATTTGGTTTATAGCCATGTAACCATATTTCCGACTAGCGCCTTACTGTCCGGCTCGATCCACTGAAACTGCGTACAGATATTGCGTCTCTGTGCATCCTTCTATCGAATTTATCATGGGAAGTGTTCTGAGGAATTGTTCGGATTGATACCTGCTGCTGATTTTCACCATCGTACAACCCGCCATAAACTAAAATTTCATCCCAACAATCTGGACGAGTGGCGGTCTTCCACCGTGCGTTTTTCAAGGCACTTTCTTCCACGCACAACCACACTTTGGAATCAACTTCCAGCAGCAGTATTTCCGAACTGATACGACAACATAACCTTCAAGAAAAGAGCGTATTCCTTTTTAAAAGGCCGGCAGCACACCTGAAATGCCGTTAATGTTATGGGTGATCATAGGCGGCGGTAGTTATTTACCACCAGGTGAGCCGCATGCTCGTTTGCCCCCTGTGTTGTAAAAAAAAAAAGCTTTTTGCCCGCTACTTTTGTATGCGTAGATTTTATAAATAGAAACAGGAGAATCAATGTAATATTCCGCTTCTAGATGGTGTATTAAGACAAAACATATACCAGTTTTTAAGTTAGGCCTTCAGAAATATAACTTTAAAAACCGCATCCCATTTTGTGCACTTGTTTTTGCGTTATGCTGGAACAAATAAAAAAAATATGTTTTTCGTTTCTATTACAGTTAATAAGTATTATTGTAAATATTGGATAATCTATTGCAATTATTGCATGTAAATTTTTCTTAAATATCTCCTATGTTCAGATATTGTTTAGTTGCAGGTTTATTTCATTAGTATAATAAGATATATATATATATATATATATATATATATATATATATATATATATATATATATATATATATATATATATATATATTTTATACAACTTAGAATGGCAAGCAAGCTGACGGCCCACCTGATGGAAAGTGGTAACCGTCGCCTATAGATATGAGCAGTACAATGGACATAACAGAGTATACTGTTTTACCCATGATACCGCCCATGCGTTGCCATTCCTGAGGACTCAGATGTTATTCCTCTGTACCCAGTAAATTCACGCCATATCCCACCATTCAAACCAAAACACAGCCATGCAAACACAGCTGCTTCACGGTTGAAACACGAATAGGACAGAGGTACCCAAGCAATCGACTTTTGTACAAAGTCTTCCTCTGGTGGTCTTTCTTCGTTACTCTCAGGTTTAAATGATTAAAATCCAGACTAAAAGATAAAAAACGAAACACACGATGCTTTCAACAAAATATGTGGTTACTTTAATCGTGAGAAAATTACATGGGATCAACACAATAATATATACTTCTACAATTGCTGAACTTAAACAAAAAATTCAGTTGAATTTGGAACCTCCTATTTTTATAATAGGCACCTCATTAAAAGGTGTCATTTGTAAAACCAATGAGCACACATAAGTGAATATAAGTAGCAGGCACATCATTATCTCGTACATTGACAAATAAAACTAAACGGGCGACGCTGTAATTTACCTGGTGGGTTTTTGCGTTTTTTATTATATTACTTTTTGCACCTAGGACGTACAGCATTATATGATAGATAACTATCAGTAAATTACTCGAGGGTTATATATATAAATCTGATATGATCTGACTACAGACGCGAGGTGCACTTCCAAGGTTTATGTATAACGTGAGTTTTGTATCTGGAGTTAATATTATATTTAAAATGAATTCATTTCTATGTTTGGTGATATTGGGTATTGCTGTTAGCAACGTTACAGTGAGTAACCATTTTGTAGCTTTTTTTTTTAAATACTCTATTAGAATTAGGAGCACAGCACTTTGCGAATTTAATTTGTATATTATTGTTAGGTTTTATCTTATATTCGTATATTGGGTCAGCTAAGCCGTTGCACGTCGACCCATCGGAATCTTTTGAGCTTCCCCCTGTCTTATACGAGTACCATCATTTCATAGATCTTAACGATATCCCACGCTTTAAGATATCTGTAGTCCCCTGGCTCTGGATAAGCCGTTCCCAGTAGACTCATACGCATGCTTGCCAGCGATTCGCAGTTGCACATCAAATGTTGCATTTTATTAGCTTTTACCCGCAACTTCATTTGCGTGACCGGGATATGGGTACTGAGATAAAATTTTCTCTCTAACTGCTTTGAATTTGCTAGAAGAAATCTCTTTTAGAGATCAAATCAAAAAATACGAAAGAATCACATTCACCTAGATTTTGATTTAAAAAATATTATGATATTGATCAGTTCAACTTTTAAAAGACATTGGGATATGTATATGGAGCTATGTTTAGACATCTTTTTCTTTTTCTTTCATTTTTCTTTGGTTTTTTTTTTATACCACTGAGGTGGCAAGCTTCGATTATTAAAAATCCCTTTTCACCCCCATCAATGTCGACTTTTGCCATCGTAGTAAATGCAACTAAACAAGCCTATATTTCACTATGCTATGCTAAGGCCCTGACCAACGATGAATTGGACAAGATCCACGAGTCGATGGTGGTCTTCATCAAGGAGTGCAGCAAAGAATTTGGCGTGTCCGATGATGAGCTGAAAGCAGCCAAAGAATCCGGCAAAGTCGATGGAGTCGAGCCTTGTCTTATCGGATGTGTGTTTAAGAAAGCTAATTTTGTGAGTACAATTGTATTGATGCTCCTACATAATAAATTTAGAATACAATTTATTTAAACTAATGTTACATAAAGGAGGTATTTGATTTTTAGTTTATCCACATTAATATTATGAAAAGGAAAGGTTTAGTTTTCTGCGTGTGTGTTTGTTTTGTAGCGGATAAAATCAAAAACTACCTGATTTTAAAAATTGTTTCACTCATAGAAAGCTACATTATCAGCGAATAACAAAGTAATCAAATCTATTCCTTGAAATTTCAATTGAAGTATCTCAAATGGAAATCCACTCCACAAATTCAATTCCACGAATTGGAAATTTGAAATTCGTGAAATATTTTAAATATTTATTTTTATTTAAATAATATTTTCAATTGCGCTTAATTTGTACTTGCATGCACTTTACGGCTTTGCGATATTTTATATTGTGTTTCGGTTTGAAGGGTTGGATATGGCGTGAATTTACTGGGTACAGAAGAATAACACCTGAGTTCTCAGGAATGGCAACGCATGGGGGGTATCATGGGCGAAACAGTATACTCTGTTATGTCCATGGTACTGCTCATGTCTATAGGCGACGGTTACCACTTTCCATCAGGTCGGCCGTCAGGTTGTTTGCCATTCTAAGTTGTATAAAAAATAAAATTTTATATTGATGTTAATGATCAAGACGTTTTAGATTGACGGCGATGGAAAATTCTTGCCCGACAAAGTTAAAGAGAACGCTAAGAAGTATTTGAGCCAGGAGGAGGACCAGACCTTGTTTGGATCAGTTGTGGACACTTGCGCCGCAGGTAAAAATCACATGAATATTAAGAGATTACTTTCTTGAATTAATTAGATTTTTACATTTTGTCTTATTAAGCATTATTCTGTGTTTATTTCTACATATTTTTATTATATTTTTATTAACGCTATAAGTGATTGTTATGTGACATTAATTATAAGTTTATGTTCATACGTTCAGGACTATTTAAACAGTTTTTTTTTTAAATAGATTGCTTGTTAATTACTACGGAAATTATATGAACTACTGTGTGAAGGATTCTTTTAGCGTTTCTAAATGGCGTTATGCATGTATATGGAATTAAATATAAATCATAAATAATATTACGATATGAAAGTCATATTTAATGATTATTGAGTGATTAAAAACATTTCGATACAAAATTGATTTCATCACAAATGTAAATTAAATAAATATATATTTCTCCTAGCCTATTATGTAAAGGGATTTATTTTATTTTATTTATTTATTTAAGACAAACAGACAGCTATAACAATACGTAAATTCCACACCAAAATAATAATTTAACAGCCACTAAAGTTTATACCAATGTATAATACAAGTGAAGGGAACACAAAATTAAACTATTGAAAACTACATTAAAGAATAAGTGATATAATAAAAATAATATATAAATAATTATAAATTGTATAACTCCACAGCAAATGACGAAGAAGTGACAGACGGTGACGCAGGATGCGTGAGATCCAAACTCGTATTCGAATGTTTCATCAAGCACAAGGGAGATGTGAGTACATATTTATATTTTAAACAAAAAATAAAACAAAAATGCTCATGACTGCAATCCTTAATAGGGTAGACAGCATAATTTATTAATTTTTGCTTTTATAGTGAACGTTAAACAACGTACCTACTCACATTTCAGCAAGTCGGTTGGTAAGGGGGGAGTTTACCGCTGTCACTTGAATTAGCAATTCATTAAATTATAGTTAAATGTTAAATGTTATTTCCATTAGGTATATAATATTACTTACGTATATTTACTTACGTATACTTACTTTTTTATAGTTTTAGTTTAGAAGTTTTTTTAATGGAGACTTTGTACAAAAGTCGTTTGCTTGGGTACCTCTGTCCCATTTGTGTTTTAACCGTAAAGCAGTTGTGAATTTACAGAGTACAGAGAAATAACACCTGAGTCCTCAGGAATGGCAACGTATGGGGGGTATCATGGGCGAAACAGTATACTCTGTTATGTCCATGGTACTGCTCATGTCTATAGGCGACGGTTACCACTTTCCATCAGGTGGGCCGTCAGCTTGTTTGCCATTCTAAGTTGTATAAAAAAGCAGTCACAATTAAAACAGTGATTGATTACTGGGTGCCTATTTAATCTGTGGAATAAACTCTGTCCTTATAGATAGATAGATACTTTTTATTGTTTCCTCCAAAAGATTATAATAGTAAACTATTTATAGATACAAACAACTACAAGAAATAATCACAGTGAGAAAACAATGGGCGAATGGTAATTATAATCGATAAGAGGGTGTATAAATACTTATAAAAGGGGGAAAGGGATTGTTAGTAATGGAGACTGAGAATCCTATTGCTAGCAATATACCCAACCAAGTCGACCTCCTCGCGGTTCTCCCTGGAAACTATCATGGTTAATTCCTGATGAATTCATCATGATGGGCTAACTGACCTGTTTTCATTCTCATCTATCACCCTTCACTGGTGCTCCGCCAGCGTATCCCGTTAGCGCAGGCGGGGTTACTATACCATTTTCACTCATAAAAAAAAACATAAATATGTGATAATTTGTGTGTATCTCGTGTGGTTCTAGCATTGAATAGGCCACCCCTTCCTTTCCCGCGGGTGTCGTAAGGGAGGGAGGACAAGGTATGGGCAGCGCGTCCCTCTTAAAATATCTCCAAAGACTAACGGCGGTTGCCAGTCTACCAAGCGTTGCGACTACTAGCAAAACTCCCCAAGGGGGAGACTTGTGTTCAACAGCAGATAATTTTGTTTTTTTTTTTTTCAGTTCAAAGTATCCCGTTAAAGATCATATTGAATAAATGCTGAAGAGATTGTTAATGAAAACGACAACGGGCCTGTATAAAAAATTAAGAGTATTCACCACCAAAACAAAATGAATTCTTGTTGTTTCTGAATGAAGAATCAACTGTTTACATATGTACGTTTGCAATTTATTTTATACTATTTATGTTTGATTACTTGTAATAAAATGTTTTAAAGTTTTGTTTACGTTATTTTAGTACCATTTTCTTTTTAACTGTAAGTACCCAACTAGTTTTTCCCGTCAACCCCGTCAGCGTATACCGTTAGCGCAGGCGGGGTTACCAATCCATTATCTAGTTTTTCATTAACTTACTAGCTTTTACCCGTGACTTCGTCCGTGTGACGGTGATACTTTTACCGACCAGGATAAAAACTAACTAAGACTAACATAGACTGTTTAAGTACCAGCATTCTTTTTATACAAAGTTAAATTTAAGTAAATTTAATTTAGGCCTAATTAATGGCATGATACGATTATATTCAGTATTTATTTAATTTTTCTTTATTAGCTCTTATTAGCTTTTACCCGTGACTATGTTCACGTGACCGGTATATGTTTACAGAACGGAATAAAAAGTAGCCTATTGTTGCATATATGGTATTCCTAAATAATTTAATTGTTATTACAAATATGTATGGCAACACTTTAAAAAAATATTGCAAATGGACGCTCCGGAGTTACTTAGATTTTTTTTATTTATTTTTTTATTCAAACAAGCTGACTATTCAACTGATGGAAAGTATATGTAAGTTTTATGGATTATTGCAATAAATTTGTATTAATTCATTTTTTACATTTAAAATGTTTGTAAGGTAAGTAGTTTAATTTGAAATATATATATTTATTTTATTTTATTGACACATAAAACAGATCACAACCATAAAAAACTTAAGTAATAATTACATTTGTGATTCGGCTAGGTTATAATCAAATCACATTATGTGCACAGTTTGAGTAATTCATTAAAAGCAAACACATAATATAAAAAGAAATACTAAAAATGTTATATAAATATATAAAAGATAAAACTATATAAAAAAAAATCATATTGTCAATCGTATTCTACAAAATAGAAAACATGATCTTCCTAAATATCAAATATTTTGTACCGAATGTGTCGAATTTGTGGTCGAGCAGTAAGTCGTTATAATGACGACTTGAATTTACATAAAATGTACCTTATGACTTTATTCACGCAATGCTGCTAATAAGAATAAATAGATGGAATGAGTTTGTTATAGGCGTAATCGTAATATAGAAATACAAGAAACCGAGATATATTTTTGAGACCGGGATATATTTACTGATCTGGATGAAAGTAGCCTATATTCTTCTCCATACCATATTGTACGTGTATACCAAATAACATGATGATTGGTTAAGCCGTCGCTATAAAGAAACAAACAAACTTACATACATACATTCATATCTAACTTGCTTCACAAACAAACTTATTTTTACATTCATAATATCAGTAAGGATTAACGATCTTCGTGGCGCAGTAGAAGGAACGTCGCTTTATGTAAATAAGGTCTTAAATTCGATTCCCGGTCGGGCCAATTTAGAAAACGAATCTTTCTGAATTGGCTCTTGTCTGCGTTGTTTAGTTCTTCATTATTATTAATTATATCAGCCCCAAATGTCTACTGATAGACTTCCCCATAAGGAAAATTATGTCGGTAGTCGCCACGATTGACGGCCGAGTTGGCAACCGCAGTTAGTCTTTGGTGATGTTTTATAAACCTGCTGCTCATCTCTCGACCATTAAGTTCACACAATCGCCTCTTACGATACCCACGGAAAAAGATAGGGTGGCCCATTCTATGCCGGGACCATGCGACAGTAGTTCCTTATACTACAGGCTGTCCTAGCTCGAGGACTAGGCTATCGGTATGATTGTGTAGCGCTTATTACCATTATGTACTGAAAACATTTTGTTGACAAATTAATGTTCTATTTTCATACGCGCATTCATATTTCGCGGGCAATTTCACTGAATAAGTGCTAAATATGTCTATATTTAACATGGACAGTAAATGGCTGAACTAATAATGATGATTATGAATTGAAATACTTAAAATATTAGATACATTTTTCAGATTACATTGCAAGGTTGACTGAAGTTTCTATATAAAGGGACGATGATGGAGTCAAGTTGTATTATATTTCGAAATTTCAAAATATACTTATATTTGTTACATAAGTAATAAATTAATAATAGTAAAAATGCATTTTATATTCACTATTGTTGTTATTTCTATAGCTCTCGCTTGTGTTAAAGTAAGTAACTACAAGATCATTATATATATATATATATATATATATATATATATATATATATATATATATATATATATATATATATATATATATAAGCACTTTTAAATCGTTATTCCCTTTTAAATCTCTCTTAACATCATGTGTATTTATTTACATGTGCAATTATACTTTTGTTTAATATTCAAAATTAATTTAATAACATTGTGATCCGAGATATTATAATTTAATACTGTACAATGTCACAAAAATTTACAATAAAATTGTCAATAAATAACAATATAATGTATTTATATTTTTTTTTATACAACTTAGAATGGCAAACAAGCTGACGGCCCACCTGATGGAAAGTGGTAACCGTCGCCTATAGACATGTGCAGTACTATGGACATAACAGAGTATACTGTTTCGCCCATGATACCCCCATACGTTGCCATTCCTGAGGATTCAGGTGTTATTCCTCAGTACCCAGTAAATTCACGCCATATCCATCATATCATGGGCGAAACAGTATATTCTGTTGTCCACAATACTGCTCATGTCTATAGGTGAAGGTTACCACTTTCCATCAGGTGGGCCGTCAGCTTGTTTGCCGTTCTAAGTTGTATAAAAAAAAAAGATATAAAGAATTTTTGAATTGGGGACCGGTAGACAGCAGAGGTCGCCAGTTCGGGGGCCGACCACATACTCTTTTTTTGTTGCAGTATCCAGCCGTAGGACCTTCCTAATGCTCCTCAAATATTGCGTCTAAACTGCGCCCACCATGTACCCTCTTGTATAGGCACTCCGTCACCCGTACCCAATAGCGAGGACGGGATGCCTTAAATACTGTACCGCGAACCATTAAAAAAAAAATTAGAACACTATCCCTATTTTGACAATAATTCTTTTAGTCACTATTATCAGCGTCAGCAGCTCACTACAGTTCGTTGCTGGACATAGGCCTACCATGCACATGCGCCACTTTGCACGTTCCTGTGTTTTAGGTTTTCCAGCAATTTTGCGGAAATCATTGCGCCATTATATAGCTAGGGGATGATTTGTATATGCTTGCACAGATCCCCACTCCAGAACACATTTGTAATAATAAATATTTCGCTATTTTTGTTAATCATATGTATTTTATAACTATAGGGAAGCCCGAGTAATATTAATATGGGTGGATTCGCCCAATTGTTCCTGGGCCACGTCATGGAATGCAATGAAGAGTTCAAGATACCCAGGATCAAGTTGTCGGAGATGAAAACAGACGACATCGGGGACATTGACCCTTGTCTATTTGCGTGCGTTTTTAGAAACACTGGATTGGTTGGTATTGGTTGTTCTTTTTAACCGACTTTAAAAAGAAGGGGTTCTCAGTTTGGCTGTATTTTTTATGTTTGTTACCCCATAACTTTGTCAATTATAAACCGATTTATAAATTACTTTAGTTATTTAAAAGGATATACTTACAGATTGGGTTTATAGAAATTTTATCTAAATCGGCTCAGTAATTTAATACTTAAATGAAAATAATTGGTTTTGCTACAATTGAAGATTTTTTTAAAATAAAATCTTAAATTATTTATTAAATATGTAAATTATAAACAAAAAAATACATATGATATAAAATATAAGCTTTGTTATGATGAGTCGATAAAAGATACGCCAGTTGTCAAAATACTTGATCATAAAGTTAGTTTTATTTAAAGCCATAACAATAGAGACCTTTCTAGAATTGACGCTTCCTTCATATATTTAGATCTTGTGGTATTAACAGGTAGATGATTCATCAACAAATTTTATACGGGTTGTTTAAATAAACTAGAAATGCCTAATATCCGATATCTATATATTCAGTTTTTCTGGACATTGATAACCACCCATTGCGGGGGGGAAAGGGATTGTTAGTAATGAGGTCTAATAGCCCCGTTGCTAGCAATTGATCCTCTCAGGTCGACCTCCACGCGGTTCCCCCTAGAAACCATCATGTTTAATTCTTGTCGAATTCATCATGGTGGGCCAACTGACCTGCATTGATTCTCACCTATCATCTGTCACTGGTGCCTCGTCGATGTATACCGATAGCGCGGGCGGGGTGACCATTCCATTTTCATCTATTAAAGAAAAAAACCGCCCATTGCGATATCTCTTATACTTTTCGGACATCTATATTCGTTACCAGCGGATTTTTTTTTGCAAAGTTATATAACCCTTCTTTGCATACTGGTGGAAATTTCCATCATAACATTGAATGCCTAAAACTTATATAAAAGACGAAGTTCACTTTAACTTGGTTGTGTCTTGATAATTTTTTAATGTCCATTACAGGAAAAAAAAACATAGCCGTCAAATTTATTGCTTTAACCATTTTTCCTTTAATTTTAAACATGAATTATATCACTTTGATTTCACCAATAAAAACAAAATCATGCAAAGAAGGGATATTTTTTTTTTATTTACAAATCGATTCTGTTAGAGGTCAACGTTTAGCGTAACGGTTGCAAGAGAATGCGTTTGAGACATTTTCTGATGTGTGCACAAGTATAAATAAATAAGTAAATATTATATACTGGATTTAATCAAGAAATTTTAGATGGCATAATAAATAACCAGGGATGTTCATATTCTTCATGATGAATAATTAATTTTTTCATTCTCATAAAACAATGATTTTCATTATATATCTGAATTTTATGTGTAGATATTTTTTTATAATATTGTTATATATTATTAAACCTTAATTTAAACTCGGAAAATTATATTTTATTTTATGCTGCCAATGTTTTATTATAATATTTTCAGTTAGACGACAAGGGTATGTACAATCCGGAGGTCAACGACGAACTCAAATAATAATCAAGAAATTTGATGGCATAATATATATATATATATATATGATTTTGTTTTTTTTTTTATAAGATAGCAAATAAGTTTTTTGATTAAAATAAATATTTACATATAATAAATTATATATATATATATTTTTTTTTTTTTTGAAAGTTTTAGTTTTTTTAGTAAGTCCTTAGTTTCCCTAACTCTTTTAAAATGATAATTATTTCGATTTTCTCTATATTTTGGTGCGTAACTCAATATTTAATTTTTCGTTTTTTATATAGTGAACGATAAAAGTGTATCTGATGGAGCCAAAGGCTGTGAGAGAGCTGTGATGGTGCTATACTGCTTACACGAGTAAGTTTGCTTTGACTGTACATCAAAGTCATTGACATCTTTATTTTTTTTTATGCAACTTAGAATGGCAATCAAGCTGACGGCCCATGATGGAAAGTGGTAACCATCGCCTATAGACATGAGTAGTACCATGGACATAACAGAGTATACTATTTCGCCCCTGATACTTCCCATGCGTTGCCATTCCTGAGGACTCAGTTGTTATTCCTCTGTACCCTGTAAATTCATTGCCATATACCACCCTTCAACCCGAAACACAGCCATGCAAACACAACTGATTCACCAAAATTTTAAAATACTCTTTACTCTATGTTTTAGAAAAGTAGTTTAGCGAGTTCGTCGGAGGTACAGACAGCTGTTGATCACCAAGACGCAAGGCGTACCAAGCCATTCTTCATTAGACGTAATTGCTGAATAAAAAATATGAGTGCTTAACGTACGAGAAAATGTTTCATTTACCCACTAACCTCAACTTTGTATTTAACCTTTTATATATAAGATAAAGAAGATGTTGCAGTGTGGTCCTGGTATAAAATGGGCGATGGCTTCCTTTCTTAAGGGGACTTAATGGTCAAGTGATAGGCAGCAGCGTGCCTTTTAAAGACTCACTAAAAGCCTAACCGTGGTTGCCACCTCGCCTCGCCACACTGATGTTCAATGATGTACAAGATCTGATGTTCAATGATCTTGATTGAACATCAGTGTTCAATGATGTACTAGATGAAATTGAAGTCATTAGCTATATTATTTTAGAGGGAGGTTCTACTATTTCAACTGAATGTTCACTGAAAAAACATTGGCCGGATAATAATATGGTACCTCATCATCTTTCTATCCTTACTCCAAGTATACAAATAATATAGATATATGGATAGGAAAATTAATACTATACTTAGATATATAATTGAAAATTGTGTTTCACAAATAAACCGACTTCAATTGGCAAACCAGAATTGTCTTGAAAAAATTGTTTTCGACAATAAGACCGCCTTACTGGTCTTATACAACTGTATCGTTAACATTTATTAATTATCTTGCTTATTCCTTATAATGTATAATGAAAATAAAGTATACTTTTTCACTCAAATCAGTGTTTTATTTTTATTATTTATACAACTTAGAATGGCAAACAAGCTGACGGCCCACCTGATGGAAAGTAGTAACCGTCGCCTATAGACATAAGCAGTGCCGTGGACATAACAGGGTATACTGTTTCTCCCATGATACCCCCCATGTGTTGCCATCGCTGAGGACTCAGGTGTTATTCCTCTGTACCCTGTAAATTCACGCCATATCCCACCCTTCAAATCGAAACACAGCCATGTAAACACAACTGTTGCACGGTAGAAACACGAATGCGACAGAGGTACCCAAGCAATCGACTTTTATACAAAGTCCCATACACATTACATCACAAAAAAAAATATAATTTATACGGAATTCTCGGTGCTTGAGTCCGACTCGCACTTGACTAGTTTTTTTTTTATTTTCCAAGCTATATGGGTGGTACATTACTACTTCGGGTTCCTAACTCTTCGGACTATCTGTCACCTTGGTCCTTCAACGAATATGCTCATTTCGAATTTAATCACGTCGCTGTTAGATTTAGTACATAGAAATCGAAATACGAAAAGGCCAAAACATAGGTACATCTTTGTTAACCTTGCTAGCATTATATACATGAACGTGACTTTATTTTTGACCTTAACGGGTATTAAGCGTATTGGTAGCATATTGATTAGTTTTAATAGAAAATTTTGGAAGCAGTAAGTACTTGTGTTGGAGAAGGACATAAAATATTTCTAATTCACGCGAACAAAGTCACGGTAATAGCTAGTAAAGATTTAGAAGCTTTTAAGTGTATAATATACCTACAGTATAATAAATAAATAAAATAGTAAATTATTTAAGATAATTATGTTATTTATCATATTAATTATGTAGAATGAGCTCCCTGCCGAAGTTTTCCCTGAATACTATAGTATTAGGTTTTCAAAATGGATATATTAAAGTTTTTTTCAGGGTCGAGAATTCGCACGTGACACCACTAGTGTTGTAGGCGTCCATATGCTACAGTAACCATTTACAATAGACGGGCTGTATGCTTGTTTGCCACCTTTGTATAATATATATTATATAGTATTAAATTCGTATATTATATAGGTATAATATCTATATATTAGTTCGATAACGTATGTATTAAATATTGATTATTTATTACGTAATATCCTAAATTACGAACACGATTTAAATTAAAGTAGTTATCCGATTAGTGTCAGAGATACCGAGGTTAGCAAAGTCCTTTTTTCCGCCATCTTTATCCAGAGAACCCCAATATATAGATATCGATGTGGTATCGAGCCATTGGTAAACTATGACAAATTTTAACACTTACATATTGTTATTTCATGCGTGTAATTTGAATGTAGAATAGATAATTTTGTCATGAATTTTATAAAAAAAAGTACGATTACGATGCTGTTATAAAATGACAGCACTTACTTATTGTTATTTTACAGCAAAATATTGGTATTTCATGGGGATAATTTGTATTGAATCGTTTCGTTTGTAATCATCCATTTTGGTGTGCTACCGAATCTAATGCCACCAAAACTAACAGCAGCATCATTGGGATCACTAACACAAAAACACATTTCCTGATAACCCAACCCAAGGTCGGGAAATACAACAATTGTGAAATTAGCTATGCATCAAATTTAGCTAGATCATTCCTCGTGTTCACTATAAAATCAGTAGACATTTGTAGTGGTCATCACTTCGCATTAGTTCTTTGAATGTTAACATTTAAATAAATAAGGTCAACATTAAATAACACAATAAATAGATTTTTATTGGTAACAATACATTGATATCAGAACTATGTATAGATATTTGTTGTACCTCACTTTGTTTATATACGTACATGTAGTAAAAAGCAATGCTGTAAGTATATTAAAACAATTGATTGCAAAAATGTGTATAATTTTTAAAATTGTTATTTATTGTTATCAGAAATCATAAATCATCACTTGCTTCTATGTTAACATACCACCCATTTTTATAATTTTTCTTCATGCTAAATAGTTGGTTTAGGGACAATGTAGTCTTTGTTTTAGGCGTCACCAATTTAGTCATTGAAACTGCTAGAGAGATATCGAGAGCATCAGCTAAAAGCATCAGATAAGTCGTATGAAAGGTCAGTGACCTTAGACACTCGTCTCCCTCTGCCTACAAGGGACTTAGCGTGAAGATAGATATGTACGACGACGGCGGCTCTCCATCATCATGCCTAATTATTTCTTTACTTTTAAGTCAATCTATACAGTCGTTTGTTACTCATCTTCTCATGGGCTTACTGAGTTTGTTTCCTTGTCACCTTAACGGCTTAACCATTAATTATTAAATTTGGTATATATATGAGATGGAGAAGAAAATAGGCTAATTTTATCCCAATCAGCAAACATATCCTGGTCGGGCAGACGAAGTCGTGGGTAGGAGCTAGTAATAAACAATGCATTAAATGGTTTTTGGTATTTTTTTCTTTCCCCAGGCAATAACTCCAGCACAGAAAGCAATGATACAATCGAAGCTGTTATCAAGTGGACTGGAATGCATCAAAGATCACCCGCTTTCAATCTCTGACATATCAACACTGAGGAAGAAAATGATTCCCAACAATAAAAATGCTAGATGTTTTGCAAATTGCTTGTTCAAGAAAACTGGTATTGTAAGTAATTTCTAGAATTATAAAATGGTTTTGAATATTAATGTAGCAAACTGCAAACTTATCAATATTGGGTAATTTTGCAATAAGGTCATTCATTTCTATTTAAGAACTGCGCTTTTGACGCTGGAGCTCTTCCCACCCACTACGATTTTCAGTCTCTTTACCTCTTGATACGAGTCGACACTAACTTTTCCTCAATCTGTCTGATATAACTATGCCTTGGTCTCCCTTTCCATTCTATCTTACCTTCTATTATGGTGTTCACAAGTTCGTCGTATCGTATCAAGTGTCTTGACGTTTTCTCCCTTCTGATAAGATAGTACATATAAATCTACAAATGATTCTAAAACGTCCCCGAGCGAAATTCATGATGAAGCTAATCTAGGAAAATCACTTTCCTACTTTGGTTCGAAGTTTTCCGTAATATATAGGTGATAAACAAGTATACAACTCGACTGATGCTAAAAAGTTATTGTAGCCTTTGTACGCCCACAACAAACTTACCACAACAACTTGAAGAATCTTTAATACGCCTTTATTAAGGAACCACAAATTATAGTCTGTAAAGAAAATCTGGGGTTTGTTTTCTTACAAAATATATTTTAATGAATGATGGATGTATTATTAATGGAATAGTAACTCCGCTTACGCTATCGGTATGATAGATGATAGATGCGGCTGAAAGCATGTTAGTTAGTCAGTATCGTGACGAATTTCACAACGTTTAGCCACGATAGTTTCCAGAGAGAACTGCGTGGAGATCGACCTAAATATACCCTATATTACTAGCAATGGGGTTGTTAGACCTTATTACTAACAATCTTTTTCCCACCACAAAATAGGGTTAAATAAGAAGAGGAATTTTCAGCTTGAGGATTTAATAATATATAATTATGGGTATTTCAGGATTTTATTGTATATATTTACTTTTAATTATCCTCAGATGGACGATATGGGAAAACTTAATCCTACAGGAGCTCACGATAGTGCCGTAAAGATATTCAAAAATAGTGAGGAGCATTTGAGCAAAGTCGATGGTATTATTGAGGAGTGTTCTTTTGGTAAGTCGTTATTGCAAATACAAGAACACTACATTATGAATTAATTTTTAGACTTTCAGATTTCAGTTTATGGTTTTTAAGGGACGGGAATTAAAGTATGACGATTATGATAATTTACCTAAGACATCTTGATGTTTCGATCAGGTTATATTGGCCAGTGTCACAAGTAGCCGGATATAGTGCTAAACGGAGACATGACGGCGTGAGAATTTTCTTCATAGAACTGTAGTTTTTTTTTACACTTATTTTGAGTATATACAATTATAGAAAAGAGTTTTATGAGTGTAACAGAATATATATTTTATAAGTTTTACCAGAGGGAGACTTTGTACAAAAGTCGTTTGTTTGGATACCTCTGTCCCATTCGTGTTTCAACCGTAAAGCAGTTGTGTTTGTATGGCTGTATTTCATTTTGAAGGGTGGGATATGGCGTGAATTTACAGGGTACAGAGGAATAATACCTGAATCCTCAGGAATGGTTACGCATGGGGGGGTATCATGGGCGAAACAGTATACTCTGTTATGTCCATGGTACTGCTTATGTCTTTGAGCGACGGTTTTCGCTTTCCATCAAGTGGGCCGTCAGCTTGTTTGCCATTTTAAGTTGTTTAAAAAAAAGTTATTTATTTATTAGACTTTAATACACCTAGAAAGTGTAATATGTATTTTGAAATCTTCAGACCTGAGCAGACTTATTCTACGTTTGTATTTTTCTCTTTCAAGTTTGTATATTATGTTCCCATTTCGATTGTAAGATATTACAGCAAAACAGTTAATTACATATTATTATCAAGCTAATGGTAATTCTTCTTCAATTCTTTTCATAAAATTTATTGTAGACTTTTTTTTTATACCACAAAGGTGGAAAACAAGCATACAGCCCGTCTGACGGTTAACAATTACTGCAGCCCATGGACGCCTCCAACACCAGGGCTGTCACATGTGCGTTGCTGACCCTAAAAACATCTTAATATACTCTTTTTGAAGAACCCTACACTGTAGTTTCTAGGAAAAACCTCGGTAGGGAGTTCATTCCACAGCCTTAGCGTTCATGGGAGAACATTCCTCTGAAACCGCACTGTATGCAAACATTTAAGTTCTAGCATGTGAGCATGAATTCCCTGTCGATGGCGAGCGGTGCGATGATAAAAGTTGACTCTATAATCACCTTTTCAAACGATTCTTCTAAACAAAATCCGTTATACAAGCGTCCTTTTAGTAGGACCACTTTTGTAATTACCAAAATCGCAATACCCTTATTTTTTGAAGAAACAAAAATTACTAGCCACATTACTGTTATATGTTTTAACTTTTAATTAAATCTTTCAGTTAATGATCAAAGTACTGGCGACGATATGGATTGCGAGAGAGCCAAAATGGTATTCGAATGTTTGGTGCAACATGCTCCTAAAGTGAGTTTATTATGTATTGTAATTCTGTATATATATACAATCAGTACTCAAAATATTTTTTTATTTAAATATACTTGTTTACGAGCACTAATAAATTGTAAATTTTTTATGAATGCATATTTTATGTGCTAAGTAAAGATAATCTACCTGTATCAAATTTCATTAAATTTGCGCAATAGTTTTTACGTGAAAGAGTAACCAACATGGCTGAATGATTTATACATCCATTATTAAAAAAAAAAACATATTTATTGTTTTAATAGGATTGCTAAATATATTCTTCCTTTTCTAATTAGATATAATATTTTTTTTTTTATTTTACAGTTCGATCTGGATATCGACTTTTAACGCCTTCGAAGAACGTGATTTTTATTTTTGGAAAAAGAAAATAATGTATATAAAAGTGCTTCCTATATATTGCTATACAGGAGCTGGTGTACAAGTACATAATAAAATATTCAATTCATTTCAAATTATATGCGAATGCTAGCTATGATGCGACCTTTTGGCAATCCATCTGGTTAATGTCTTAGGATAGCGGACCCTTTTTGTAAATTAATAATTGTAATATATAAATTTTAAGTTACATTTTTGTTTTATTTAAAACCAATAAGAAAACGTCAAAGATTAAGCTACATGGACAAATCATAACACTTTTCAACCAACTTCAAAAAGAAGGGGTAACTCGTAACTCCATCATTTGTAAACCGATTTGAAAAATTATTTCTTTTGTATGAAAGGATATACTTACAGATAAAATTTCATATAATATGGAGTCACATAGATATCAACATCGATTCAGTATTTTAGATTTTTTTTATCAAAATAAGTGATTTTGTCACATTTGAAATAAATGTTTTTTGTAGGACAGCATCTTTAAATATTATGCGTTGGTAAATAATTGTGTTTTCCTAATAAAATTCATCGATAGTTCTCTATATCATATCATATGAACGATAATTTTTTTTTTATAAAATAAGTATCATGAATATGTATTATTAGTATATATATGTATTATTATATACAAATATGTATATATTTTGATTTTAATTATATGAGTTACTTTGCATATATGTCAATATATTTATTACTTCTTAATAGAAACAACTATACTGTTTCCTTCTATTATTGTACGCATACTGCCCGCTGGTAATTAATGCTCCTTTCCACTCAGGGTTTGCTGGAAGAGAATTCTTACAGAGTTACGCTCGCCTGTTGTACTTATTATTGTGTTATTTAATATAAATTATATGTTTGTAATTTTTGTGTACAATAAAGAATAAATAAATAAATAAATGGACCAAGAGCATGTAAATTATATTCCACGACATCACTCACGCGTTGCCATTTCTAAGAACTATGGTGTTATGCCTGCGTACTTTGTAATTTCACTAACATACTCTCCCATTTAGGGAGGAAGGGATTGTTAGTAATGGGGTCTTGACAGCCCCATTGCTAGCAATATACCCTGTCATGTCGATCTCCACGCGATTCCACCTCGAAACCATCATGGTTAATTCTTATGGAGTTCATCACGATGAGCTAACTGACCTGCTTTCATCCTCACCTATTATCTCTCATTTTTCCATAAAGTCTCCCTTCGGTAGATCGTAAACAAGCTGGCGGCCCATCTGATGAAAGTAGTAACCGAACATGAGAAGTACCATGGACATAACAGAGTATACTGTTGTGCCCCTGATACCCTCCATCCATGCGTTGCCATTCCCGAGGACTCAGGTGTTATACTTCTGTACCCTGTAAATTCACTGCCATATCCCACCCTTCAAACCGAAACACAGCCATGTAAACACAACTGCTTCACGTTAAAAACACGAATGGGATAGAGGTGCCAAAGCAAATTACTTTTGTACAAAGTTTCCTACTGGTAAAAACAGTCTAAGTAATAGTGTCTAAATAGGAAGCAAATATTTAATTTTGATTTCAGATAAAACATAAATATTAAAATAGTTTTATAAAATAAAGTTGGCATCATCATATCAGGCGTTAATTATCCACTTTTGTTGAGGATGAAAGCAGATCATTTAGCTCATCCTGACGAATTCAACTAGAATTGTCCACGACAGTTTTCAGGGGGAATCACGTGGAGGTCGATCTGACAGGGTATATTGCTAGTAATGGTGCTATTTGACCCCAATACTAACAATCACTTTCCCCCCCCTGCAGTCCATTTGAGGTCGTCACTCCGTTCAATGGGGAATTTTCCTATACTGCGTTCGCTTGTACGAGACCATTGCTCAATTACTAAAAAACCTAGTGCATTTCTGCTTATTTCCTGATTTTTTTATGTTGCTGTATGTTTTCTACCTTGAACTTACTAGTTTTTAACCTGCTACTTCGTACGGATAAAATACCAAAATAAAAAAAAAAAACAAAAATTAAATACACTAATTTTAGATGGCGCCTCAAGGTAAAACATACACCAGGTTTTAAGTTAAATCTTCAGAAACACAACTGTGGAAACAGCGTTCAATTTGGTGCAGAAGTTTATGTGTAATGCCAGAACAAGCAGATAGATGGGCAGGCAAAATTTCTAAAAAAAATATTGTTCTGAATTTATTAAGATCCGTCATATCAATTTTTCTAAAATATCTCCCATGTATAACTATACTATATAACATACTATATATGTTATATACTGCATAAATATACTATATTGTAACTAAAATAACTAGTGGAATGAGTTGTGGAATGAGCTCCCTGTCGAGGTTTTCCCAAGAGACTACAGCATGGGGTTCTTCAAAAAGAGGGTAAAGAGGTTTCTTCAGGGTCGGCAACGAACGCGTAATACCTCTGGTATTGCAGGTATTCATAGGTTACGGTAACCACTTACCATCAGGTGGGCCGTATGCTTGTTTGCCACCTCCGTGGTATAAAAAAAAATACAGTAAAAATTTCAGTAAGGTCACGAAACACGAAGGAAATCTATATTCAGCAGCGAATAACAGATAAAAAGAGATTGAAATTGAAACCATATTATATTGCAATAAAGAATTATATTTCTATCAACTTAGCTAGGTCCACAATCTAATTTTTAAATTAAAAATTACTCAGTATTTGTCCGTTGGGTTTTGCCGCCTTGACTCGTATGTATTTTTTCTTTTATTGGATAGTAATCTGAAATAAAGATCAGTTAAAAATGTTAATTAAATTGGCAATTATCAACATAAAATGAGTAGTCAATTCAAAATAAAAAAAAAAAAATTAAAAGGGCTGTATGCTTGTTTGTATTTCGCCGTGTGTGCCCCGGCTTAGAATGGGCCATCCCTTCCTTTTCCGTGGGTATCGTAAGAGATGACTAAGGGAGAGCGAGAGATGGGCAGCAGCGTCCTTCTTAAAACATCCTCAAAAGCTTAACAGCGGTTGCCAATTCGCCTGCCAAGCGTGGCAACTACTGGCAAAACTCTCTTTTTGGGGAAGGCTTATTTCCAGCAGTGGATAGTTATTTTTTTTTATACGACTTATAATGGCAAACAAGCTGACGGTCCACCTGATGGAAAGTGGTAACCGTCGCCTATAGACATGAGCAGTACCATGGACATAACAGAGTATACTGTTTCGCCCATGATACCTCCCATGCGTTGCCATTCCTGAGGATTCAGGTGTTATTCCTCTGTACCCAGTAAATTCACGCCATATCCCACCCTTCAAACCGAAACACAGCCATGCAAACACAACTGCTTCACGGTTGAAACACGAATGGGACAGAGGTACCCAAGCAATCGACTTTTGTACAAAGTCTCCCTCTGAACAGTTAACAGTTAAATAATAATAATGCTTATCTGCCTTACCACATTTGTTGTATAAAAAAAAAATTGCAGCATACTTATTTGATTTCATTTAAGCAGTTGAAAAGGAGCCTGGCTCGCTCGCAGCCTTTTTCTCCATCCTCAGTAACTTCATCATTTACTAAAAAAAAAAAGAAATAAAAAAAACACAAATTAAGAATCTATCAATCATCGATAATGCAGGAAAAGAAATCGGGGATAAATTCTCAGTACGTAGATAGTTTCTTTAGAATTTTTTAAAGATATTATCAAACTATCTGAACTAGAAACTGGAATTAGAAAGAGTCGATTGAATGGCAGATTTTTTCATTACAGCACGATATGTGACTACATAAGCGTGAGCGAATACAAATATAATATGGTCCATAAATATGAGCAACCGAAAGAGAATTATTTGCACTCAGCTGTTGACTGTACTATGAGAGCTCAATAAGTGCTATTTCATGCTATGCTTGAAGGATTCGAACTTATAAAGAAGAAAGAAAGAAAGAAATAATTTAATCAAAGAAGCATGCGGCCCAGACAGTAGCTCACAAAACAAGAACAAAAGAAATCAAAATAAAACAAACAAAAGAAAATAATAATTATATACAAATAGAAAGCAATTAAATTATAATAATAATCAATAAACAAACAAACAAACAAACAAACAGTAGGATAACTCTTGAATCCAACATCGATTCCAATCCAAATCTATTGCTAATGACAATTTAATACTGCACTCATGGAACAACAGTTAGGAATTAGCTATAATTAGGATCGGTTTACAATAGTTTGCATTGGCAAGTTGCACCAATAATTCAAGAGTGTGAGTTCTCAATTCCAGTATCGATCTATTTGAATTTATTTCAAGAGCGACCCTACCTATAAGAAGAAGGAAACATGTTACGGGAAAGGCCATTCCACATTTTGACGGTACAATTTACTTAAGGGCTAGCAAACTTCTACGCGAGCGTGCGGTGTCTATCGTGTATGGATGTAATCCTTGACCTATCCTCGTTGTGTGATATCAGAAAAGAGAAAGGAGGTGAAATGGGGAAATGAATTTCTTTTGAGCACTGTCCATGGTATGAATAGGTAGTAGAAGACACCTAGGGAGCATACATCTCTATATATTTGTAGAGGTTCTAGAGTTTTGATCAACGTCCCCCATGACATGACAGCTCGTCTCTGCAAAACACCGATAGTGTATAGTATACCTACTCAACATTTCCAGAGTCAACATTTCCATTCGCGAGTGTATCGTAAGAGGCGACTAAGGAAACTTAATAGTCGAGAAATGGGCAGCAGTGTCCCTCTTTAAACATTGCCAAAGATTAACTGCGGTTGCCGACCCACCTATCAAGCATGACAAATATTGGCAAAACCCCCAATAGAGGGAGACCAATGATCAGCAGTGGACAGTGTAATGGTTGATATGATGATGATAAGGGTGATGATGATGACTATGTTGATTAACAACTATAACTAGTTGTTTCCAATAGCTTCACATATCACATAGTAAAGAGCAAAAAAATACATATTTCAATCAGTTTTGATAGTACGTTGATTAATTGATTTCTGGTTGGAAAGTTGTCAAGACTGTTGTAAAAATATGCCAGTTTACTACATATATACGTACTTTTAGCACATTTAGTGATGATATCTGTTATGGCATCCATTTCTCCCTCGCCAGTAAATATTTCTTTGGCTTTATCCAATGCTGCATCTTTTACCAGACTTCCCAGGTCGTCGAACTGAAAAAAAGCATATTAAAAATATTTCATTAAAACTTCTACATTACGTTAAAGCAATACCACAGATAATATAATACTATACAAATTAGATAAGATAGCTTCTTAAAAAATTGCAAAAAAAAATTATGCTGCTTTAGAATATTTTCTTCTAACATAAGGGGCAAAGGGTTAAGCAGTTCACCTGGTGACAAAAGATTACCACTGCCTATACCATAGACACGAGCACCTTTAATGGTCGAGGGATTGGCAGCAGTGTCTGTTTTTAAACGTCACCAAAGCCTGATTGCGGTTGCTAATCTAGGTAGATTAGTAGATAATCTAGGTAGTAGTAGACTAAGTAGGATGGCAGGTGCCAAGCGTGGCAACTACTGGCAAAACCCCTTAAGCTGGACACTTATGTTCAGCAGTGGACAGTTAAAAGCTTATATGCTAATGATAATGACTTACCAAACCTATTTTCTTCAATACACAAGCACCAAGACAAGCGGCATCTGAACCTTCAGGGAATTCCCCATTTTTAAACGCGGCTAGATCTTCAGTGGAAAGTGGATATTCTTCGAGGCAATCATCCGCGTGATTTGTCAATTTCGGTTGGATAATGGTTATGTGTTCATGTAATGTAATTGCCTAGAAAAATAAGTTAAAACTACATATTTAGACTCACTAGATGACTAAGTAAATTTTGTATCAGCTACAATAACAAAAATTCAACTATTACAACTTTTAGTAAATTATTTATCATATATCATATATTCTCTTTATTGCACTTGTAAATTACATTGTTAATTCATTTATAAATATTGTGAGCAAGGGTGGACTTATCTCTGACAGAGATCTCTTCCAGTCAACCCAATGCAGTTAGAAAACATGTTGTTAGCGGACAGCTGAAGTGCTGAAGAAACTTAGAATGGCAAATAAGCTGACGGCCCACCTGATGGAAAGTGGTAAACGTCGCCTATAGACATGAGCAGTACCATGGACATAACAGAGTATACTGTTCCGCCCATGATACCCCCCATGCGTTGCCATTCCTGAGGACTCAGGTGTTACTTCTCTGTACCCAGTAAATTCACGTCATATCCCACCCTTCAAACCGAAACACAGCCATGCAAACACAACTGCTTCACGGTTGAAATACGGATGGGACAGAGGTACACAAGTAATCGACTTTTGTACAAAGTCTCCCTCTGGTGAAATATGCTATTTAAATATGATGTTATATGTGAGTCAGCTGGATAAATGCCTTATTTTTAGTATATAATTAACTATTAAGTAGAAATGTATAGGATTGTTGTGGAGACACCCGAAAATTATTGTTTTTTTTTAACATAATATCTAAGGAATAACTCTTTATTTTTTTCTCTAAAAGATTACACTAGTAAACTTATTATAGGTGAACATAAAATGTTCACACTGAGAAAACTATGGGCAGACGTATTACTCTCTCTAAAAGCGCTCTCTTTAATTATCTTTTGGTTGGAGAGGAGTAATTATAAATAGTTTGATCGGAGGTACGATGGAAATTCTGTTAATATACTTATTGTAATAAATAATTTATAATTTACACAAAAATAAATGCACTTACAGCTGTTAATTTGAGCACTATTACAACTGAGACAGTATATAGCACCTTCATTGTTCTATGTGGTCAGAGGGCTTCCGATGCAATGGTGATTGTTTTAATCTCCTGGTAATTTTATACTAAACAAAACGGCGAGAAAAACACCAATATCCTGTGATTTACCTTCGATTTACGACGGTAGCTTTTCATTAGATTCTTAGTAATGATTCGTCATTGTCACCTTATTGTCATTGTTCAGAAAATGCATCGTATTTGTTGATGGCGTTAACATTTTGGAGTATTACGAAGTCCAGTACTTTATGTAATGCTTTGAGCTAATTAAAATCCGGATACATTCGTATGTGGATTTTTGTAATTGTTATAGTATTTTATGTGGTATTTTACGCCAATAAAGTCCCGGATACGATCGGTTATACTAGTTCAGAAATTAGGTCTTATAACTACATGCTTTAATGGATGAAACAGAATTAGCAACCCTGCCTTCTTCTTCTTTTGTTTCGCCTTTTCCAATTATCCAGGGATAGCTTTCCTTTATAAGTGGTACTATTTGTTCCTATTACATGCATTCATCAAGATTCAACTTTTTCGTATCTTAACAAACTGTTGATGGCTATGAGGTATGAGATAACTCTACCTCAGCTTTTTATTTATTGATATTCAAATGAGAATGAAGTCTGATCTGTTGACCCATGGATTCACCAGAAATTATCTATGATTGTTTTGCAGGGGCAATACATGGAGTTCAATTTAGCCTTATAGTGCTTGCAATGATGCTAGTCCTCGTTACTAACAATCTAAACTTTCCAATGATTTATATAAGTTCTGGATTTTTATCACATTTAGTATTTATTATTCTAAAGTTTTTATTCTCAAACTAACTATAAAGGCTATTTTAATAAAATTAAATAGATTTTAAAATTTTTATGTTAATTTATCTACAGGCATCGTTATGTTTTGTTTCTGATATATATAGGAGTGCATGGGGGGTGGTAATGTTGGATGGTGAACGACTAGTCCATTTATTACGGTTATATAAATAAAATGGATTCTTATTTTAAAAGTATTTAGCACCATATTCATACAGCAATCTGTCAATTTAACGTAAACATTATAGTGATATTTTTGAGTGACAGTACTAATTACATTGTTGTATCTAAATGAAAATCAGAACTTTGCTAGTTCTGTTCAGTGCATAGAACATTTCTGACAATTAGTAAAAACTAGTTAGATACCACTACCACACTAGTTTACTACTTGGTTAGATACTTCTACCTATAGAGACTTCTTTGAACTATCCCTCGAAACATCAGCTAGAAAAGGTATAAATGTGGAAATAATGTAGAAGTCGTCTTTCAATGAGCATAAAATTTATTAAATAAGAACAATAATTAAATACTTAACTCTGTTAATACGATTATATTTAAAACAAATTGAAAGCCTTGTCAAGTTGAAATAGATGCATTGTGAGCCACTTTCTGTTATCTTGCATAGTATTCATTAAATATCGAAGCCGAACTGGAAGAAAATTAAAAATATTATTAAAATCTTGGATCTAATCTTCTTAAATAATAAAATCAAATTAAAATTATTTTTATTTTCTTTTTAAATTATTCTAAATTAATTTTTATGTTAAATAATTAATAACAAACTTTACCTGCGGGGCATTTTCCATCATGCATTTATAGGCCAAGAACGCTCTCTCGCAACCTTTTTCACCGTCGCTAACTGATGCTGTATTTACTGTAAAAATATTTTCTTATTATTAGTATTGGCGACCGGCCGATGCAAACTCTTTAGACGTTATTGTACTTTTTTATATACATTTACTTTTAGAATATTCTTATTATTTGTAATTTTATATTTTTTTGACATATTGATTCATTGTTCCTTGCTCGCTGTTCAATACATATATTTCGCTACTAAATTCCGTGTCTACATCATTTCATCACCTCATCACAGTCCACCGCTCCGTAATATTTGGTCCATTCGTAGCCATAAGTATAAAGCACCGATATTTTGCTTTTTCATTCTAATTTTTTTTTCCAAAATTTTCATTTTCATCTCACACGACTTCATCGTATATTTTTTTCCTAAATCGTGTCATTCTTCATTATAATGGTGCAGACACGCAGTAAGAGCAAATCATTTGTGAATTTAGCAGCCACTGAAGTCGAGCGGTCGGGTCGTGAAAGCCCGGAGTCATCATCGCTACCGCCCGCCCGCCCGGCTTCAGCAACAGCGATCAAGGATATTCCGTCATCATCGGCTAGATCGGTTACACAACTCGTGGGCACCCCACGTTCGGTAAAAGCATTATCTCGCTGTACCAAGTGCCCTGGTGACCTCTCTAGCCAACTTCAAAAAATCGATGCCCGGGCATCTTCCCAAAACGTGCAAAGTCGTTGCGGCCAACAATCTACTAGTGAACATTCACGATCGTCACGTTCGTCCGCCACCGTCCGTGCACAGAAGTTGGCCGTCGAAGCAGAAGTCTTACGGTGCCGAGTTGCCCGTGAGCGTGAACTCGCGCGTCTTCAGGCGAAACGCGAGCAGGAGCTCGCTCGCTTGGAATCTGAGGCGGAGGAGAGAGAGCTGCAAGCCAAACTCGCTGCACTGGATGCTAAAGATAAGTCTCGTAGCTCATGTTTTTCTAATCGCGATACTGAAATACGTACTGCGACATGGGTTTCAGAACAAAATGCAAACATGACCATGGCAACACATGTCGACATACCTGGTAAGCCACCGACTGTCACCTTGGAAAATACCCAGGGACTCAGTCTACAGTCGGCTGTCTTTACCAACGCGGTACCGTCTCATGAACCATATGTCAACCATGCAAACCATTCGAAATGCACACATGTCATTAGCAACGAAGACTGTGCAACAGTGGCACTGCAACGCTTACAACCTGATCGTCCATCGGCAGATCCTATAGTACAGCTCACTCAAGCTATTACTAGTTTATCTAACTGCCCAAAGAAACCAGAACTCGTCATTTTCTCGGGCGAAATTAGTCAATGGATGGCCTTTAAAAGTAGTTATGAAAGAACTAAATCTAGTTTTTCCGCAGCAGAAAACCTCACACGGCTGAATAATGCGGTTCGCGGACCGGCATACCAGGCCGTGGCGTCACTCCTGTGGACTTCTTGTGACCCACAAGACGTCATGAACGCATTGGAGCAAACGTACGCCCGACCAGAACTCCTCGTTGCTCGCGAGGTCGCCGAGCTACGCAATAGCCCTAAGTTAAGTTCCCCTGAACAATTAAATACATTAGCAAATAAATTACGTAACTTTGTAGTTACTTTAAAAATTATTAAAACAAAATGATTATCTATATTCACCAGAGCTATTTCGCACTATTCTACTCAAATTAAGCGAATACACGAGAGCTCGTTTTACAGACTTTGCCTCAACCTATATATGTGAGCAACAAAACGTGGCAAAATTAGACTTGCTATCGCAGTTTTTGCTAGTGGAAGCCGATAAGCAACTACGGTACAATTTCGTACAGGACAGTACCATTAAGCCACAAAATTCAACGTACCCTTCTAAGTACAATAATAACATAAAAAAGGAGACAATACACGTAATGACCCCTAGCAATAAAGTATCAGAGTGTACATACTGCAAACAAGGTAGTCACAGTATAAAATCCTGTAAAATATTTTTATCTCTCACAGTAAATGATAGATGGCGTTGGGTTCGAGACGCGAAGGTATGCTACCGCTGTCTTAAATCAAATCCACATAAATGGACTAATTGTCGTAGTAAACGTTGTGGTGTTGACGGATGTACAAGACGCCATAATTCGCTTCTTCACGGTACCACGCCTAATGAGTCTGGAACTAACTTAGCGACCAACACCCAACGCACCCAAATACTGACTGATAATTCAGATGGCCCAAGCAACATAGCTGATAAGACATATAAAAATGAACCGATTAAAATCACAAATACGTCTGACATTTTAATCAATGCAGCAGGTTCTTCTTCACGTCCACGCGGCCTCCTGAAAGTACTACCGGTTATCCTCGAGGGCCCCGACGGCGACTATGAAACCACGGCGCTACTCGATGATAGTACGGCGACACTAATTGACGACAAGGTAGCGATGCGTATCGGCGCCAAGCCCACCCGTCAAGAGCGTCTTCGTATTGAAGGTGTTAGCGGCATGTCAAAAGATGTAGATGTTGGTTACGTGAACTTCTACATACGTGGGCGTAACTTACCTGACCGCTACTTAGTGGAGCATGCACGCGCAATTAGCCCATTAAGTCTGCGCGTCCGGAAAGAAAACATCGTTAACTTTATGAAGTACCAGCACTTATCAGACCTATCTAATGAACTTTCCTACACTGATACCAACCCAACTGTTCTTATTGGAACTGGTACCTATCTGTAAGCCGCGAGGTAAGATGTGGAAAGAAGAATGAACCTGTTGCCTCTAAAACACTATTGGGCTGGGTGCTCCACGGCGCACTGTCGGTTTCATCTCAGCCGATAGAATTTGTCAACCATATCTGTGACCACCTAGACTCTCTTATAAGAAAGCAGTACGAAATTGATTCCTTAGGTATAATGAAAAGCGTTTCACGTTTCAACAGTGATGATAAACGAGCGATAGATATCATCGAAACGTCGGCTCGTCAACTTGACGACAACCATTACGAAGTCGGTTTACCTTGGAAAAAAGACTTACCAACTATCATACCTGATAGCTACCCACAGGCATTATCTCGCTTCAGAGCTCTGGAACGACAAATGTCTAAAGACCAATCATTTGCCGCAGCTTACCATGACTTCATAAATGGCATTGTTACTAAAGGGTACGTCGAAGAATGCGACCCAAATACGTATTATAAACGAATGCCATCGAACGTTTCATGTGTTAACCCGGACGATACTATTCGTTGGTACCTGCCCACCTTCGGAGTATTTCACCCCCAAAAAAAGAAGCTACGAGTGGTGCATGATGCGGCAGCAAAGACAAAAGGTGTATCAACAGCCTACTCCTACAGGGACCCGATTTATTAGGTTCTCTATTAGACATTTTATTTCGTTTCAGAGAGGGCGCTGTGGCCCTAAATGCCGACATTAAAGAAATGTTCCCTCAAATAAAAATCGCTAAAAAAGACAGAGACGCCCAACGCTTTTTGTGGCGTAACAAAAACGGTATTCTCGTTGAGTACCGCATGAAAGCTATGATATTCGGCGCAGTGTGTAGCCCATTCATTGCACTTTACATTAAGAATAAAAATGCAAAGATAGCGGAAGCTAGATATCCTGCAGCATGCAAAGCTATAGTTGAAGATCACTATATGGACGATTACCTGGGTAGCCACCCTAGTGTCACTGATGCCGCGCAGGTGGCATCTGACATAATTATGGTTAAAGCATGCGGTTTCGAAATGCGAGCATGGACTTCGAATAATTCACAAGCTCTCTCTCTTGTCCCCAAAGAACTCAGAAGTGAAGCATCAGACGTATACTTACCACCAAACAATGATGTTGGTATTCTAGGCGTTAAATGGAATCCATTCCACGACTCGTTCAGCTTTCGTACAGGACTTCATATGCCTGATATTTTAACTAAACGTAGCCTACTATCCAGCGTTATGAAAGTTTATGACCCACTTGGCCTACTAACGCCTATTATAATTTCGGGCCGTATTTTGTTCCAGAAGTTATGGCGAGAAGGCATCGACTGGGATACCCCAGTACCTAATAAATATGTTTCTGAATGTACAGAATGGTTCACTCAATTACAGAGTGCCGCTAGCATCAAAATTCCGCGTTGGTATATGTTTAAATCAGATCCAATGGATATTCAACTACACATAGTGGCTGATGGTGGTGAACAAGCATACGCCTGCGTAGCTTACTGGCGTTTCAATTACAATGATGGCTTCGTCTCTACGGCTCTTATAGGTAGCAAAGCTCGAGTTGCACCATTGAAACCGCTCTCTATTCCCCGCCTGGAGCTACAAGCGGCGCTTATTGCTTCTCGATTCGCACAAACTATTTTACGCGCTCACCGTCTTAAACCCTCCGCAACTATTTATTGGACAGACTCTACCACCGTTCTTAAATGGATCCGAAGCGACGCTCGCACATTTAAACCTTTCGTTGCTCACAGGTTGGGAGAGATACTGGAAACCACCAATCCGTCCAATTGGAGATGGATTCCTACCTCTCTCAACGTAGCCGATGATGCTACTAAACCAAAGAAAATATTTTTGTCTCCTTCTCATAGGTGGTTTACTGGCCCACCATTTCTTTTAGAATCACCATTCTCTTGGCCGTGTGAAATTACCAGAGACGAGGATGAGACCTTACCAGATTCCGAATTAAAATCAGAACTTGTGGGGCTGCTCTCCTATGTCCCACTACCTGACCTTCCCGTACCTAACGCTACGCGATTCAGCTCGTGGCTACGTTTACTACGCACCACTGCCCGTGTTCTCCAAGGCGCACGACTTTTTCGGCTTAAAGTGTCTCGACCAATAATTTTAAATTCTAAATTATTTTTAGATGGCAGCATCACATCGCCCTCCCAGCTACATGCAAGAGACATCATACAAGCCGAAAAGATGTTATTTCAAGGAGCTCAAAAGGATAGCTTCCCTGAGGAGCTGAGAGCCATACAAACTATGCAGCCCGTGCCCAGTAATAGCCGTATTGCAACACTCGCACCAGTACTCGACGGAGATGGCTTACTTCGCGTGGATACCCGTACCAAGTCTGCTCCAGGAGTAAGCGAGAACGCAAGATCACCAATCATCCTGACGGTCGCAATTACAGCGTACGACTCTTAATATTACATCAGCATATTCAATCAGCACACTCATTCAATGAGCTCATCCTAAATGAATTAAGGCAGAAGTTTTGGATTCTAAGGGCAAGAAGCACTATCCGAAGCGTAGTAAATACTTGTCTGCAGTGCCGACGATGGAAAGGCAAAACAATCAACCCAAAAACCGGCGACTTACCATCACACCGGTTAGATCACCATAAAAGGCCCTTTACACATGTCGGCCTCGATTACTTCGGCCCGATAATCATAACTATACATCGACGCCACGAGAAACGGTACGTTGCTCTTTACACGTGCCTAGTGACGAGAGCAGTACATCTAGAAATGGTCACCTCGCTTTCATCTGATGCGGCCATTATGAGCCTGAGACGTTTCATAGCTCGCCGAGGATCTCCATCTACCATACATTCGGACAATGGTACCAACTTTGTCGGCGCCTCCCGTGAGCTACGAGCATTATACAACGACTCAGTAGAAGAATTTGCGACAACTCACAAAATCGAGTGGCACTTCATCCCACCAGCATCTCCGTTTATGGGCGGGGCCTGGGAGAGGCTGATACGTACTGTCAAAACCGCCCTGAGAGCCTGTCTAAACGGTAAAATATTAAAGGAAGAAACCTTAACAACACTCTTACTCGAAGCAGAAGCCATCGTTAATGCCAGACCGCTCACGTACGTCCCATCATCACCACACGCACCAGAAGCACTAACGCCATTCCATTTCATACTGGGTACTTCATCAACAGAACCTTGGACATGCTCGTTAACAGATGCCGACTTGGTACGAAGATGTGACTGGAAAAGAGTGCTGCGTCTTGCCGACCATTTCTGGGTACGATGGCTGCGTGAATATTTACCCACGCTCCAACCAAGAGGATCGAACAAAGAGGCGTTAAAAGTATGTGAGGGTGATGTGGTGTGCTTATCGCGGACTCTACTCTCCCTCGTGGCCTCTGGCCCCTAGGGAGAATAGTAAAAGTTTACCCAGGCCAGGACGGAGTGGTCCGCGTAGCGGACGTCTTCACCAAAGGCGGTACGTTGCGCAGACCAGTCCGCAAACTAATTTTATTAGAGACTGAGCCTCGACCGGCCGCCACCAGTTGTTAGTGTTCCACTGGGGATCCGGTATATTGGCGACCGATGCAAACTCTTTAGACGTTATTGTACTTTTTTATATACATTTACTTTTAGAATATTCTTATTATTTGTAATTTTATATTTTTTTGACATATTGATTCATTGTTCCTTGCTCGCTGTTCAATACATATATTTCGCTACTAAATTCCGTGTCTACATCATTTCATCACCTCATCACAGTCCACCGCTCCGTAATAATTAGGAATAAAAATAAACCTAACAATTGTCATCATCTATAAATAAAACGTAGGAATCACAAAGTATCTCTCTAATGATAAGAACTTTTTACTACCCATGCATAAGGCTTCTTTTAAAATTTAAATATCTATAATAGGAAAGATGGCAGTATCTATTAGACTAAGCCGCTTACTATCTAATTTAACTATGAATCGTTCCCAATTGTTTCAAAATATAAGGGTAACTGTAAAATAAGTTTTATATTACTTCAATTACTTACCATGCGCACATGAATGCATATAGTCGCTAATCTTCTGCACCTCTTCCTCGTCTTCGAAAACCTTTCTTGCGAGTTCCAAAGCATTTTCTTTTTGCATAAGTCCTTGGTCATCCAACTGTGGGTACATTTATTTTGTTACATTTATAAATAATTCTCTATTAAAATTTAATATGTTTGTTTTAATAATTTCTACCAATATTGCAAATTAAAAAGTTATCTATATTTCTGATATTGAGTTAAGAAATAAATTAATGCTAAAAACGAGATAAGATTAAGTTTTGGATAGATAAGTTCTTTTATTGATAGCTTAAATACTTTTCTGAGGGGAAATTTAATATTATAGGTTTGGATTTTATAACCCACCATAAAAATGAAAAAGTATATGGCAGATATGCTTGTATGGCTATGATAAATAGGTTAAAAAGGTGGAATATGACAGTGAAATTACAAGGTATAGAGACAATTTTGTAGTGCTCCAGAATAAAAAGCATAAGTACTTGTAACGTTCATGGTATTGTTAATATTCTTATATGGCTACAATTATTATTTTCCATCAGGCCAACTGTCAGCTTATTTGTTATTTCATGTTAAATAAAAATACAACAATTTTCCAAATTATGTTTTGGTTCAAACCATATAGAATTGCAAAGGTTTTCTGACCATGTTTAAAGTTGTTTATTAAATTCCACTTACCACTCCAATTTTCCTCATCATACAGGCTAAAAAGCACGGTGCGCCTGCACCAGACGGTAGCTTCCGGGTTCTCAAATTCGTGATATCATCTTCGGTGACTGTATGATCATTTATGCACTCAATGCCGATCATTTCGAAATGCTGATGGATTTGAGCTCTCTGTTCATCCGTAATGGCCTGTAAAAGATTTTAATAACTTCGTACAGAGTTCGAAGAGAGAACTGTATATGAGTGACAAATGTTTCTGTTCTTCATGTCTTCCTTTATGGACTTCCAAAACTATCTAAATCTCTATCTTATGTCGATTCTGAAGACTCTTGACTTCTAAGATCACGGTTCTTCTGACAACACCTCTAATTACGATAACTATGTTATGTGGGGTTACAGTCGTGAGAATATTTGTTTTAAGATGAGAGAAATAGAGAAGAACTATAGAAAATATATTTAAAACTCCTCCACTTACAATAGTTGAATGCATAAAATTGAATAAACACAGACAACAAAATAAAATGGTTGAACGATACATTGTGGGTAGTCTCAGACTTCGGGATGATATTAACACACGACTGGAAAATATTGGTACTGATAATTTTCGTCAAAATTTTCCATTTTATAGTGGTCGTTGAGTAATTAGTACACAATTGGTAAGTTAGACCTGTTATTATATTACGCGAAGCACTGCTTCTCGAAATGACATTGAACATAAGTGCGCGGTAACTACTGTAATTTTCAAGATTGCAAGTTTCAATTGTCGTTGTTTTAGGCAGGTCATAGTACGTGACACATGAGTCACAGTTATATATATATTTTTTTCTACATTTTAAAAGATTGTCTGTTAATAAAATTTTATCAACGTCATACTTTTTTATTGCTTTTATTTTTGTGCGAGAAAAAAAACAAATTATTTTTATTGGTAAGTGTATTTACTATTCTGGAAATACCTAGTTGAAGATTGCAACCTTTTTGGTTTATTCTATTAGCCATATATATGCTTTTTATTTTACCAGCCCACTGTTCTTCTTTCGTTTTTTTTCTTTACATCATTTTTTATCAAATATACGGAAGCAATTTATTATTAAAAGACAATTATGTTTTTATTATTCACCATAAAACTGGAAAATTTATTATTACTTTTCAGTAAAAAAAAAAGAAAGGAAAAGAGCAAATAGTTTGAAATTTGGCAACGTTATAGATTCCATAGAATATATAAAATATAAGCATGAAGGATAAGTAAACTAAAGTGGCAGTAGCTCGCATAACAGTCAATTGAATAAAAGATATGGGGAGAGGGGATTAGTAGTAATAGGAATTAACAATCCCATTGCTATCAATATACCCTATCAGGTCGACCTCCACACGGTTCCCCCTGGAAAGTGTTGTGACTGATTTATTGTTAGTCACGATAGATCAACTGACTAGATTCATCCTCACTTATCATCTCTCATTGGTGCCCCGCCAGCGTATACCGTTAGCGCAGGCGGGGTAATCATTACATTATAATCCATCCAAAAAAAGCCCATCTGCCAAGCATGGCAAATACTGGTAAAACCCCCCCTTATGGGGGAGGCTATGTTTACCAATGAACAGTTAACTGCTGGTACAATAACTCATCCGTCAGGGGGGAACGGGATTGTTAGTAATGGGGTCTAACTGCCCCATTACTAGCAATATACTCTATCAGGTCGACTTCCACGTGGTTTCCCCTGGAAACCATCGTGGTTAATTCTAGTACAATTCATCACGATGGGCTAACTGACCTGCTTTCATCGTCACCTATCATCTCTCACTGGTGCCTCGCCAGCGTATACCGATAGTGCAAGCGGGGTTACCGTTCCATTATCATCCATTAAAAAAAACTCATCCGTCAGGAAAATATCCCATTGTGTTTTACTATTATAAAGTACACAATGTTTTACAATGGCAGAGACTTTAATGATTACTAAATGTTTACCAACAAAGACTTCAATCGTTCCCCACAATATACAGGTTATTCCAAACAATATTGCTACATTTATTTTGGCTCTAATTTGACATCGTCGTATCAATCGTTATTGAATTCTATATATTTAGCTTTCAAGTCTATACTTGTTTGTGTTCCGTTTGGCAATAAATATAAAAATCCTAACTCATTTCGTTGGCCAGGACTCTAATACATTGCTTCATAGTTAATGACAATAATCAGCATGTTTCTATACTATATAAGCGTTTATTTGATATTTTCGACCCATTTGCACTTCGTTTAACTATCTAAATCGTTGTCACTTGTCACAACTTCGAGTATGTCTACAGTATTGAAACTTGTTCTATGTGCTTTTATTTTTATTCGGTTTTTTGTTCAGGTATGTATGTACTACTAATAACGTAGATACATTAAACTGTAAATATTCCATGGCACAGTAAAATACAACGCGAAATTGTATGTATAGAATACGTATGTATTCTAAACATTTTTTCACCAGAGGGAGACTTTGTACAAAAGTCGATTGTTTGGGTATCGCTGTCCCATTCGTGTTTCTACCGTGAAGTAGTTGTGTTTGCATGCCTGTGTTTCGGTTTGAAAGGTGGGATATAGCGTGAATTTACTGGGTACAGAGGAATAACACCTGAGTCCTCAGGAATGGCAATATTTGAGGGGTGTCATGAGCGAAACAGTATACTCTGTTATGTCCATGGTACTGCTCATGTCTATAGGTGACAGTTACCACTTTCCAACAGGTGGGCCGTCAGCTTGTTTGCCATTCTAAGCTGCTAAAAAAATATATATCATAAATTGTAAAAAATTCTAATTTCCACAGGGTGACCCCATCGACGAGTTGAAGCAGACTTATATGAATATAGTTAAGGAATGTCTGACCAAATACCCCGTAACGTCTGAGGAAATGGAACACATGAAAAATGGTACTTTGTCAAAAAGTGGACAAGCCAACTGTCTTCTCGCGTGTGCTTACCGGAAAACTGGAATGGTAACACATGCACTATAGTGATAAGAATTAAGTTTATTTGTGATGAACACTACGCATTTAATAATAATAATCCCTAACACACATAATCTCCAAACTACAATCTCAGATAAACTTGCGAAGTACCAGGATCTTGTAATAGCAGTGAAAACACAATGGCAAACCCATGCAGTACATATTGTACCCATTGTTCTATCTTCCACCGGCATTATCTCAAAGACTCTAAGTAATAGCCTACAAACACTAAATATCCACACTAATCAAACATACCTACTACAAAAGGCCACTATCTTAAATACCTGCCATATTATCAGAAAATTCCTCACCTCGTCTACTATTACATCTTCCTACTCTGATACCTCTCCTACACTTGTTTAAGGCCCGTGTCGGTGAGTAAACCTTCGTCCATGTGAAGAAGAGAAAGAAAAACAAAAATAAATAATAATAATAATATTTCTTTATTACAGATCAACAATCGACTTAAACTATGTTAGTAGAAAAAAATATACTAAAATCATTTTATGGCCCCTATAATAATTTTGACCCACAATGAGAGGATCGGGCTATCATATTTATTACGCTGGCGAGGCAGCAGTAAGGGTGATAGATGAGAATGAAAACAGGCCGGTTAGCTCATCATGATGAATTCATCAGGAATTATCCATGATAGTTTCCAGGGGGAACCGCCAGGAGGTCGACCTGGTTGGCTATATTACTAGCAATGGGATTCTCAGTCTCCATTACTAAGAATCCCTTTCCCCCCACGTACCTATAGTATAATACGCAACATAACCTTCAAGAAAAGAGTATATTCTAAGTCAATAAAGTCACTTACCATCAGGTGAGCCGCATGCTCGTTTGCCCCCTGTGTTGTAAAAAAAAAAAAAAAAAAGTATAAGCTCTACTAAGTCATAAAAGAAGGGAGCAAGTATGAAGTATCATTATTTAATCTATGTCTTACTCTCTACTAGTGAGGGGAAGGGATTATTAGTAATGCGGAATATCAGTCTCATTGATAGCAATATTTGCTGTCAGGCCGACCTCCACGCGATTCCCCCTGGAAACCGTCGCACTTCATTGTCATTTAGGTATTTTCATTTTATTTTAAAAACGAAGGACTTTTTAAATTAGGTTGTATTTTTTTTTACGTTTGCTACACATAACTCCGTCATTTAAAAACTGATTTATAAATTATTATTGTATCTCAAATAATATACTTTAAGATTTGTCCCACGAAAATTTTATCAATTTCGATTCAGCAGTTCAGTTTAAAGCAAAACAACTGGTTTGGCATCGACTGAAGTCGGTTTTACTTTATAGAAAACGATCTTCAATTATTTTCCAATGGTTTATATGTAAATACACCCTAATTAAAATTTTGTATAAGTAAATAAATTGAATTCGTGCGAAGAAGGGGTGAATCGCTAGTCTTCTGTAAGGTAAATGTACCCTTGCAAGGTAGGCAGAGAGACAATTTGTTTTATTTACATAAATACATCACTCAATTAACACAAATGCATACAGAAACTAGACGCCCAAGGTCAGTTCTGATGAGGCAGCAATTACACGGTGCGGACTCCGGACCGGACAATGGTCCAACGTTCGATTCTCGTGTCATTTAATGCCGCTGTCTACCGGAAACGAATATTTGGCCATTTATTGTTGGTGGCTGGCATAAATTATGTGGCTCTCGCTTGTTTATTACGCCCTATTATTAGAGTTCAAAGTTTGTTCAATTTTTTTTATTTATTTTTTTTATTACACTGAGGCGGCAAACAAGCATACGACCCACGATTGTTTAATTTTGATTTGGAACGATTAATTTTTTGTATTTTAGATTTCAATTGTTTTGAGAAATATATTAATAAAATATATAATAAGTGCATTTTAAAAAGATGTTTCTTTTACTAACTTTCTTAAATTAACAAAAAAATAAAGATAAAAGATATGTAAATTCAATTCTTTTTTAAATATCTACTTAATTAAATTTAATCATTCATTTTAAACCGGAAAGTTTCACTTCAGTGATTTGTTTTATACTATATTTTTGATCAAGACTTTATTTATTTTTGTAGTTTGTTGTAACGAAGTTATCGTTTAATGTTGTTTTTTGAAAATTATGTTTTCTATTAAATATCCACTTTGTCCACTTTGTCATCATCATTTTATCCGTTAATTATCCAATTACGGATATAGGACTTCGATTAGACAATTATAAAGAACGGTCCTGAGCCACCTGCATCCACTAACTCTCTAAAACATTAATTAAGTAATTCAGATTGCTGGCAATACGTATGGTATTACCATAACCACATACCATATCAAGTCGACCAGCCCGTGGTCTCCGCTGGAAACCATCATGATAAATTCCAGGTGTACAAATCACTATAGGCTAACCAACCTGACCTTTTCATTTTCACAATTCCTCACTGGAGCTCCGCCGGTGTATACCGCTTGTGTAGGTAGGGTTACAATTTCATTATCATCCATAAAAAAAAAAAAACCAATGATATAGAATTTCCGCTAAATAACATTTAGTTGCATAAAATATTCTGCAACATATTTGAGATGATTGCTCCATCGAGTCTTACTGCGTTTACTTTTATGGATTCTCCACTAAGGCACCACGGCCGACTGTGCTTCTGCCGGGGGTTAGTTGCCATCTCTTCTCCCTAAGAGAGGAGATGAGAATTTTTGGAAAATTTAAAAAAATATTTTTATTTATCCTGATTGATATATATTGCACAATTCAAGTGTACACACAGATCTTGTACAATGTGTTGGCTTAACAACTAGAACGTATTAAAACTTAAAATTTTACCAGAGGGAGACTTTGTACAAAAGTCGATTGCTTGGGTGGCCTGTCCCATTCGTGTTTCAACCGTGAAGCAGTTGTGTTTGCATGGCTGTGTTTCGGTTTGAAGGGTGGGATATGGCGTGAATTTACTGGGTACAGAGGAATAACACCTGAGTCTTTAGGAATGGCAACGCATAGGGGGTATCCTGGGGGAAACAGTATACTCTGTTATTTCCATGGTACTGCTCATGTCTATAGGCGACGGTTACCACTTTACATCAGGTGAGCCATCAGATTGTTTGCCATTCTAAGTTGTATAAAGAAAAAAAAATTAGTTCATAATAACTTTAATTGCTATGTATTATTAATATTATTATTACAGATGGACGAAGCTGGAATGTTATCATTGGAAGGCGTAAATAAAGCTACCGGAATGTACTTTTCAAACAATCCTGAAAAAATGAAGAAAGCGGAGGAATTCATAGAAGCTTGCAAGGGAGGTAAGGATGTGCCTAGATGGTTACCATACGATACCAGCCGCTAGCTGTCCACTGCTGAACATAGGCCTCCCCTTAATGGGAGGGTTTTCGGTAATTGTCACGCTTGGCAAGAACGTTGGCAAACGCAATTGGGCCTCGATGATATATTAACAGGGATTCTACTGCCCATCTACTATTCAGTTCCCTTAGTATTTTTTTTGATGGGTGAAAATGGTATGTTAACTCCGCCTGCGTTAACGGGACACGCTGGCGGAGCACCAGTGAAGGGTGATAGATGAGAATGAAAACAGGCCAGTTAGCCCATCATGATGAATTCATCAGGAATTAACCATGATAGTTTCCAGGGAGAACCACGAGGAGGTCTGTCTGGTTGGGTATATTGCTAGCAATGGGATTCTCAGTCTCCATTACTAACAATCCTTTTCTTCCCTCCCTTAGTATTTGTATTCCCTTAGTTCTTACAACACGCTTGGGATAGGAAGGGGTGGACTATTCCATACAGGGGCCGCATGGCAAGTAGATGGTTAACTTATAAGATGGTTAACTTATAACTTATAAGAATTATACGAATTGTCTGAGCATCTTCTTATTACACGACTACCCAAAACTGAATAATCCTGATCTGTCACCGCTTAATACGTGCTTTTCATGTCTGCCACTACATGCCAATTAATGCAAACAATAACAGACGCATCATAGATAAATTTCAAGTCACAGCTAAAAACTTCATCTCAACTTTCAAACTGTCTAACAGCTTCCTGCCTGGAGTATTCCAGACACAACATTCAAAGAAACTGCTTGGTATTGTAGCTGTTGAATTACTCTATTTAAGAACCCAACTGTGGATCCATTTTCAAAAATATGGTGAACCATATTATAATATTTTTATTATTTACTAGCTGACTCGGCAAACGTTGTTTTACCATATACATTATTTCGAAAATTTATCCTACTACAATTATTATATTCGATTGCCATCTTGCAACCTTATTGCGGAATATAAAAATCGCGATTAAAAAACAGAGGTTGATCTTAAAAGTGTGAAAATTTTAATTTGTATGTATTTTTCAATGCTGAATCATAATAAAATAAAAAAAAATTGCCAAAAAAATAAAAAAAAAAATTTTTTGGGGAGGGTCACCCTTATCATTGAAGGATATGAAAAATAGATGTTAGCCGATTCTCAGACCTACCCGATATGCACACAAAATTTCATAAAAATCGGTAAAGCCGTTTCGGAGGAGTTTGGTAACAAACACCGCGACACGAGAATTTTATATATTAGATAATAGCTTTATTGACTGCTTATAATGCATGACCAAAGTGTGCACTTGGTACCAATAGTGATTTGTGTATTGTATAATGTAATAAATAATTGAAAATTAAATATATAATATACATCGAAAAAGGAATGTTGCGTTGGTTTGGTCATTTGGAGAGGATGGATGAAAGAAGAATTACGAAAGAGATTTATCGAGCAAGAATGAATGGAGATGTCCGTAGGGGCCGCCCTAGATGGACGTATGTCGACCAAATAAGCGACGTGCTGAAGAAGGGCCAAATTAAAAGTACCCGTAACCGGCGAGCGTGTATGAAAATATTGATGAATGTGGAAGAAGCGAAAGAGGTTTGTTTGAATCGAAGCATTTGGCGTTCCATTGTTTCTGCCTACCCTAATGGGAGACAGGCGTGACAGATATGTATGTATGTATTAAATATATAATTTATCTTTATAAAATAACCTATTTGTAGGCAAATTCAATAGTTAATATTTGCATGCCATTTGATGTGGCGAAACATAACAGACATCTTATATACTTCACGAATGCGACATCTTATCTACGATGTTTCCAGCAAATAAATTTCATTTCATTTCATTTCCATGATAAATATTGGTCAATGATTAGTCTTTTTGTTTATAGTGAATGAAGAAGAAGTAAATGATGACGGGGACAAAGGTTGTTATCGGGCGGCGCTGATCTTCAGATGTACTATCGAAAAAGCGCCAGGGGTATGTTTTCTATATAATTCATTCATTTTAGCCGTTAAGTAACTCATTACATATAAAACCTATTTCTAAACGGATGTTTTTTTTTAATATAATTTTAAGGGCTTTTACCTTTTTCAGGTCCTATTGTACCCTGAACTGATTTCTCAAACAAAACTTTATCTACTTTCCCTAGACGCGATTTTTCTAAACGGATGTTATAAAGAGGAAATATTAGATTTTTTTTATGTAATGGATAAACTGATTTTTTTTGTACAACGAAGGTGGCAAACAAGTATACAGTCTATTTCATGGTTTTTTTTATACAACTTAGAATGGCAAACAAGCTGACGGTTCACCTGATGGAAAGTGATAACCGTCGCCTATAGGTATGAGCAGTACCATGGACATAACAGAGTATACTGTTTCGCCCATGATACCCCCCATACGTTGCTATTCCTGAGGACTCAGGTGTTATGACTCTGTACCCTGTAAATTCACGCCATATCCCACCCTTCAAATCGAAACACAGCCGCGCAAACACAGCTGCTTCACGGTATAAACACGAATAGGACAGAGGTACCCAAGCAATCGACTTTTGTACAAAGTCTCCCTCTGATGGTAAATGGTCACTGTTGCCTATGGATGCCTGTAACACTAGGGGAATCACGTGTATATTGCCGACACTGAAGAAATCTTGATATACCCTTTCCGAAAAAACCCATACTGTTGTCTCTAGGGGAAATCTCGAGATTTTCCCCTGACCGTTGTTCGTTTGCCCCCTGTGTTATAAAAAAAGAATGTTTTACTATTGTTCCATGTCACCATCATACATACCACACTATTTTATAACCGACTTCAAAAAAGGTGGTTGTTCTGAATTCGGCTGTATTTTTTTATGTTTGTTACCTCATAACTCCGTCAGTTATAAACCGATTTGAAGATTTTTTTTTCAAAATGAAAATATAGATTTACCAAAATCAAAAGTCTATAGTCTATAGCACTCAGGTATATCTTCCCCTTTCTAACACTAAAAGAACTTCCAAAATCGGACCAGTAATACCGGAAATTACCCCTAACATCCAAACTTACAAAATTTACCTCTTTATAATATTAGTATTGGGGGGGGGAAGGAATGTTAGTAATGGGGAGATTAGTCCCCATTTCTATTAATGTATCCCATCAGGTCGACCTCCACGCGGTTCCCCCTGGAAACCATCGTGACTAATTTATCGTTAATTCGTCACGATGGGCTAACTGACCTGCCTTTTCATCCTCACCAACCATCCCTCACCGGTATCCCGCCAGTGTATACCGATAGCGTAGGCGGGATTACCATTCCATTATCATCCATTAAAAAAAAAATATTAGTATAGATTTATTGAGTTATTTTTTATTGATTTTTTTCCAGTTCGATCTCATTTAATCGGAGTGATTGCGAGCATCGATATGTCCGGAACAACGTACAGATAACAAATCGTCCTTCATCATTACATACAGATTAGCATCACACAATAAGGTAACGTCATCAGGAATCAAATACTATGATCATTTATGAATAATTAAGATATATTGTATTTTGTATTTTGTTGTACTAGAAATAAGGGCTAATTTGTTTTTATTTTTTGTCTGTAAAATTATAGGAATTAATTGTAATTTTTTTTTATTTAGTACTTACTACCTTTTATCCGCGACTTTATCCGCGTGAACGATATATATATATATATATATATATATATATATATATATATATATATATATATATATATATATATATATATATATATATAACCTATAATAACCTATGTCCTGCTTCATCCCATATACATAGTATATGTATACCAATTACATAATGATTGGTTAATCCATTAAGATGCTATAAATAATCAAATAAACTCACTTTCATATTTATAATATTAGTCAAGATAAGTAGGAGCTATTTTATTAAATTTTTTGTTAGGAGTTAATTGCAAAATTGTTTTTTTATTTAGTATTAACCTTCCTTAAATGTCCTTTTTTATAAAAAAAAATACGTATCCAATTTTGATGCCAAAAGGTAGCAAATAATTTAAATAGTTCATTTATTTAGAGGCCATTTCTATTTTAATTTACTTTATTTGTATTTTTTTTTATTTCGTTTTCTCCATCATTCGGGAAGGCAAAAGGACTAAGCTTATACAGCCGTTGTCTTCACTTAATTTCTGGTATTATTTTTTTCCATTTTGGTTAACTAGAGTTGTTCAAATGTTGAAATTACATATTCATATACAGATTTATATGCTTCTTTGTTTTTTAACATAAAATAACTCATACAAGAAATATTAAAATAAATATATATAGTACCTATATAATAAATTTATTTTGATGATTTTAATTCTCCTCCTTGTTGGATATTAATAACCGTCGCCTATAGTCATGAAAAGTAATTATGGAAATGACAGATTCTGATATAATACGATTTCTCACTTCAGAATGAAAACTGATACTCTTATTATAGTTTGTTTGTACATATACATATAAAAAAAACATAAGAATGGTAACAATACAATAAATAACAGAGACTGTGTCACTGTGACTGTGTATATTGCTTGCAATGGGGCCCTTAGTCTCCATTAATAACTATCCCTTCTTCCCGGACTACGTGGTTTTGCCTCTGTACCCTGTATTTCCATTGTCTCGTTACCATTGAAAATTGAAAATTGCTTTTTTAGATCTTTCTAATGTCAAATGTTACCTTTGTACAAAACGACATGTTTTTTTTTTTAATTCAGCTTTTTTTCTTAGAGTCGTTCACTCAGTTTCTCCTTTTAAATACAAACTCGAACTATGTTCCAAAAATCTGTATCATAACTGGCACACAATTCAATAAGGCAACGTTGAATATACAAATGAAATTTATCACAACATAGGTATGTCTAATATGTGAGGCGTAATTATTATTAGATCAATGTTGGCAAACATTCACAAAAACAGATATATTATTGATGATAATATCACAGATGCTTCTAAACAAGGAACTGTTCTATCCTTTTCTATGCAATAAGGAAGACATTTAGTTTTTTTTTTATACAACTTAGAATGGCAAACAAGCTTTTTTTTTTATACTACTTAGAATGGCAAACAAGCTGGCGGTCCACCTGATGGAAAGTGGTAACCGTCGCCTATAGAAATGAGCAGTACTATGAACATAACAGAGTATACTGTTTCGCCCATTATACACCCCATGCGTTGCCATTCCTGAGGACTCAGATGTTATTCCTCTGTACCCAGTAAATTCACGCCATATCCCACCCTTAAAACCGAAACACAGCAATGCAAACAGAGCTGCTTTACGGTTGAAACACGAATGGGACAGAGGTACCCAAGCAATCGACTTTTGTACAAAGTCTCCATTTCTGAGGACTCATGAGTTATTCCTCTGTACCCTGTTAATTCACTGCATATATATTACTGCCCTTCAAACCGAAACACAGCCATGCAAATACAACTGCTTCACGGTAGAAATACGAATAGGACAGAGATGGCCAAGCAGAAGACTTTTGTTCAAAGACCAGAGGGCGACTGTCTCCCTCTGGTATATTATATATTTTATGCCATGTGATCCTGGCATAGACTGGGCCACTTTTTCCTTTACTGTAAGTGTCGTAAGAGGTGACTAAGGGACCTTAATTGTCGACGGATAGCCAATAGGGTCCCTCTTAAAGCATCACTAAAGACTAAGCACTGGGTACAAAGGAATAACACTCGAGTCCTCAGGAATGGCAACGCATGGAGGGTATCATGGGCGAAACAGTATACTCTGTTATGTCCATGGTACTGCTCATGTCTATAGGCGACGGTTAACACTTTCCATCAGGTGGACCGTCGGCTTGTTTGTCATTCTAAGTTGTATAAAAAAAAAGCCTGAATGTTAGAGTTACTCGCGAACCAGGTGGGAATCTCTCTCATACAGTATACCAAAAATCCACTCACATAGATCAATATCTACATGCTATAGCCTACCATCACCCGGTGCACCTATTATCAGTACCAAAAGCCCTTATAAACCATGCCATGGCTTTATATGACCCGCAGTTCAATAAAAAAGTAGTTTGACCATATCAGGGTTGTGTTAGAGAGGATTGGTTTCGAGTGGAGAGAGTCTTGCCAATCTTGCCAATCCAAGCAAACGTAAGCTTTTATCTAAAGTTAAAAGAGCACCTCTATTTCTATCTAATATACGAGGTCTGTCCGGAAAGTTCGTATAAAAGTGTTCTGGAATGCGAGAAAGAGGAGTGGGGAGGCCAGGTAAGCGCAGGACCCCTTCCTTATGTCCCTAACAATGCTTCAGTTCTGGTCTGACCGCCGTGCGGTGCGAACTGGCTTGTCACGCCATCTGTGAAGTTACCTCTTAACGAAACCCCGTCGGCATGGAGCCCGCTTCCGTTGAAGAGCAGCGCGTCGTAATCAAGTTTCTCTCGAAACTCGGCAAGAATGGCCGTGAAATTTTTGCCGATCTCAGAACAGTTTATGGGGATGATGCTGTGAAGGAACCAACCGTCCACAAGTGGCTAAAAAGATTCAGAGAGGGCCGAGAAAGCGTTCAAGATGACCCACGTTCAACGTCCTTCCACTTCACATTCCGACGAAAACGTGGAAAGAATTCGAACTTGTGTTAATGGGGACCGTCGTTTAACGGTCAGACAGTCGTGTGGCACGAGTTCGTCCAGAATTGGCGCGAGAAGGGCGTTGGATTCTTCACCACGACAATGCCCCTGCCCACACCTCTCTTGTTGTCCGTGAGTTTTTGAGTAAAAATTCCATTACGGTGACCGAACACCCCCTATTCGCCGGATTTGGCCCCGTGTGACTTCTTCTTGTTCCCAAAAACCAAATTGGTACTTCGGGGGCGGCATTTGGGGGACATAAATGAGATAAAAAAAGCTACGACGGGGCAGCTGAGAAACCTACAACCAGAGGACTTTCAAGGAGCCTTCTCACAGTGGAAACGGCGTTGGCACAAGTGCATTATGTCACAGGGGGAGTACTTTGAAGGGGATAAAATTGATTTACCTGAATAATTGTAAAATAAAATTTTTAAAAAACTTTTATACGTACTTTCCGGACAAACCTCGTAAAAGGAGTAACAGAAAATAGGACAGTGTTATCCAATAATGCATGCGAAATATTTCATTTTTTTTAATACAACTTAGAATGGCAAAGAAGCTGACGGCCCACCTGATGGAAAGTGGTAACCGTCGCCTATAGACATGAACAGTACCATGGACATAACAGAGTATACTGTTTCGCCCATGATACCCCCCATGCGTTGCCATTCCTGAGGACTCAGGTGTTATTCCTCCGTATCCAGTAAATTCACGCCATATCCCACCCTTCAATCCGAAACACAGCCATGCAAACACAACTGCTTTACAGTTGAAACACGAATGGGACAGAGGTAGCCAAGCAATCATTCTTCATCATTAAAAATACCTTTTTTCTCTTGCATGTTTTTTTATTACAGCAAGACACATGACCACACCATCGTAAACAAACATGGAGATGATATGGTTCATCAATTGAAAAGAGAACTTTCTATTCATAGCAGTTGACCACACTATGTCGGCCCACTAAGTACTTTCTCTTGCTATGTTTGAAGGGTCCGAGGTTATAGAAACACGTCACGGGAAAGGTCCTTCCACATTATTACGGTATGCTTCACATATGCCAATGGGATGCTACGTCACACACGATGGAAGGACGGAAGTACTGGGGAATTTCAATATAATAGGAAATAAACTGAAATGTGAAGGGGGAAGGGATTGTTAGTAATGGAGTTTGACAGTCCCATTGCTAGCAATATGCCTTATTAGGTCGACCTCCACGTGGTTCCCCCTGGAAACCATCGTGAACAATTCTTGTTGAATTTGTCACGATGGGCTAACTGACCTACTTCATCCTCACCTATCATCCTTCACTGGTGCCCCGCCGGTGTATACCGATAGCGCGGGTGGGGTTACCATTCCATTATCATCCATTAAATAAAAAATAAAAAAACTGAAATGTGGAAGTCACTGAAAAATCAATTACCAATGAACCGGATGGACATCATATTAAACTTTTAATTTGAATAAAATTATTATAGCATACCTAACAATAACACGGTTTAAATATACAAAATAATGCAATGATTCCTCATTTTATGAACAATTTAATGATGATCATTAGAGATAATGTCAAGGCATATAAATACATGTAGCCGATACAATATTATTCATTTCGTATTGTTCAGTAAAATAATTATTCACTATGGAAATAGCGTTTTTCTTGTTGATTCTTGTCAGCTGCGTATATGTAAGTGGATAGATTTTTTCTTTTTCTATTTTGCCACGTAGCTCAGAGTGTTCTTAATGGCCGAGGGATGGAAAGCAGCGTCCTCTTAAAACATCACCGAGGTTGCCAACCTGTCTGCCAAGCATGGCAACTTGTGGCAACAAAACACCCCATATGGGGGAGCTCAATACTCAGAAGTGGACAGTTACCCGCCGATTTGAAGATTACGCAGAGCATTATGCAGAGTTAATGAATGCATAATGATATACGACTACTATCATCCCGCGGCTTCAATCGCGTAGATTAGTGTAAAAAGTATTTTAGATGCTAACTTTTTAACCTACACTTCAAACAAATTTTATTCAAATCCTTTAAGTAGTTTTTGCCTCAATAAACATTCATGTATCGTTACCAAATTTCGGATTTATGATATTAATACGATATTACAGCTTACTATAATATATATATATATATTTATATTTATAATAGCTCCATATCACCACCATCACATCTGCCGTTAACTGTCCACTGCTGAACATAAGCCTCTCTCATAAGAGGGGTTTTGCCAGTAGTTGCTACGCTTAGCAGGAGGGTCTGCGACCGCAGTTTGGCTTTGATGATGTTTTAAAAGGGACGCTGCTGCCTATACCTCGAGCGTTAAGTTCTATTAGACGCCTATTATGACACCCACGGGAAAGGAAGGGATGGCCCATTCTATGCCAGGATCACATGTGTATATAACTTAGTATATTAATGTTATATTAAAACTCAGTCTATGATGGGTTTATCCGTTTTGGTAAATGTTAATTTATTACTCGAGAAGTCCTACATTCAACGTGGAAGGAGTCGAGCCACCACCTAGGTTAACTTGCTTTGGTATCGGTCCCTTCTATTGCTGGAGAGTTGATTATTTTTTGTTCCAAGGCAAAAACGGACGAAGAAATCAAAGCGGACTTTATCAAAATCGTGACGCAATGTTTGCCCGATCATCCAGTGGACATGAATGAGCTGACGAAACTCCAGATGCTGGTTGTGCCCAAAAAGACAGAGGTGAAGTGTCTACTCGCATGTGCTTACAAGAAGGAAGGAATCGTAAGTCTAGCTTCACTATTATGTTATTATGTTCTGAAATTTTGGATATTTAAAACATATTGATCGAAAAATATTTTAATTATTAAACGTCCATATATATCCCAAAGAGGGTTGACGTCAGGCAGGTGGCCGGTCGTAAAACTAAAAATCAAGTCTTTTTGTAATATGGACAAAATCATATTACGCCGACCCCAAATGATTGGGATAAGGGTAGGAAGATGATGATGATATATTAAATAGTATCGGAGACAAAAAAATTATTTATCGTTCTTTGACCTATATATTTTTTGAAAAGTGTTTAGTAAAGACTAGCACGGGTGGACATTTTTACATTTTTAAAAGTGGTTATTGTGACTTAACGATAATAGTTGGACATATAATATCGCGAAGTTTTTTGTAGTTATCGACCATTAAGGCTGCACACACGACGGAAGCTTAAAAATGGAGTAACTTCTCCCGTTTTCCCAACATTTCCCTTCACTGCTCTGCTCCTATTGAACGTAGCGTGATGAAAAGTAAAAAAAAGAAAAATACTATAACCTGTCCAGGAGTATGAAGAATAATTGTACCAAGTTTTGTTAAAATCCGTCGAGTAGTTTTTGTTTTTATAACGAACATACAGACAAGAATTTTACTAATTGCATTTTTGGCATCAGTATCGATCACTAATAATCACCCCCTGATAGTTATTTCGGAAATATATTTCATGTACAGAATTGACCTCCCTACAGATTTATTATAAGTATAGATATAAATATTTATATTGACTTATCGATTGTAAAATAAAATAAAAAAAATGAAGTCTTTATTGTTTAAAAGATCATTTAAATTATTTTTGCCTTAAACAGATGTCTAGCAAGGGTATGTATGACTTGCAACATGCTTACAAAATAGCAGAAGAAAATAAAAATGGAGACGAAAAGAGACTGGAGAATGCTAAGAAATTAGCTGACATATGTGTTAAAGGTAAATCATAAATTTATAATAAATCGTCTATTTTTTTATAATAAGGCACAAATATTAAACGGCGGTAATCACTTAAAGGTAAGTGACTACTGCCGCTTAGAAATACCCGTAACATTAGAAAAATTGCAGGTGTATTATTTATTTATTTATTTATTCATTAGTACAAATATGTATACATGGCGGACTTAATGCTAAAAGCATTCTCTCCCAGTCAACCATAGGCAAGTGTCAGAATACTCGAATGCGGCACTACTAATTATTGATATACATACATACTAAAATTACATATATAAACGAATAAATATATATGAATAACAAATATACTTACACATATATGATATATACTATATTATACACGAATTTGGGAATAATATAAAGCACTTATTACACAAGTATTACCAGCCTTTTAGGAAGGAATATGCTCTTTTCTTGAAGGTTTTAATGTTGTATTTGTTGAAAATACTGCTGCAGTTTAAATAGAACTTAATCAAAATGTAAACAAACCAATAATTGACCCGACCATAAGACAGTCTACTAATTTTATTTTATATTTATTTTACCAATGGGAGGCTTTCTATAAAAGTTTGAATGGTGCGATATGGCAGTGAATTTACGGGGTATAAAGACATAACACCTTAATTCTCAGGAATGGCAACACATGAGGATTTTTTTTAATGGGTGAAAATGGAATGGTTACCCCGTCCGCATTATCGGTATACACCGACGGGGCGCCAGTGGAAGATGATAGATGAGAATGAATTCGACAAGAATTAAACATGATGGTTTCCAGGGGGAATCGCGTGGAGAGAACCTGAGAGGCCCATATTGCTAGCAATGGGGCTATTAGACCCCATTACTAACAATCCTTTTCCCCCCAAACACATGAGGGGTATCGTAGGTGAAACAGTGTGCTCTGTTATGTCCATGGTACTGCTCATGTCTTTAGGCGACGGTTACCGTTTTGCATCATGTGGGTTGTTAGCTTGTTTGCCATTCTAAGTAGCATAAAAAAAAGCATTAACTGTTAACTGCTGAACATAAGCCATCCCTATAAGATGAGTTTTGCCAATATTTATCACGATTTGTAAGCGGGTTAGCAACGGCTTTGGTTATCCCTCAATCATTAAGTTCCCAGGAAAGGAAGGGGTGACTCATTCTATGCCGGGACCATACGGCTACTTAGCTTATTTATTCAAAACGTTATCATTTCAGTTAACGATGTCGAAGTGAGCGATGGCGAAAAGGGTTGTGAACGATCAGCGCTTATGTTTAAATGTTTAGTTGAAAATGCTCCTAAGGTAAGTCTAGTATTAAGTGACTTATAAGTCTTATTAGTGATGAAGTTTTTGTGATGTATTCTCAGAAAGAGAACTGCACGGAGTTGTCTGTAAGTAAGTAGCGTCTGTAAAAAAATAGGTTACTTGATATAACACAACAAACATAACTAAAATATAATTTTTATTTATATTTTAGTTATATTTGTTTGAATACTGCGATTTGGCAAAACAATAAGGAATTTTATTTTAAAACGGTTGTATGTCGAGGCTCAGTCCATGTCAATCGACACGTAAAATATCCTATGTGATAAGTTAGAATATGACCCAATCGTGTACCAAATTTCATTTTAATCTATTTAGTACTTTATGCATGAAATAGTAACAAACGTCCATCCATCTATTGTTACAAACTTTCGCATTTATAATAATTTAATTAATATAATTTTTGATTCGTAAGTAAGAGTTTATATTAGTAACTTAATATATATATGTATATATATATATATATATATATATTTTTTATATATATATATATATATATATATATATATATATATATATATATATATATATATTATACAACTTAGAATGGCAAACAAGCTGAAGTCTGGTCGGCCGGAACTATGCCGGGACTATATTAAAACATTTTACATTATGAATAATTCAGTACATAAGTAATTCTAATATTTTTGTTTCAGCTCGGATTCAAAGTATAAAATTATGAATATTATATACTCGTAGAACGTGATGCTCCACGACATCAAATTTATTGCAAGATCCTTTGTTTTGATTTGATATATAGAAAATATATTTTTCATAAGTAAATTATGGAATACTTGTTTGATTTTATTTTATAACTGTTAATAAATATTACATGTTAATATATATTACAGTGTATACTTTTTAATATATATTACAGTGTATACAGGGATTTTTAAGGAATTAAATTTGAGAAGATTTTTGGATTCAAATCGGAACATAGTAGAAATTTATAAATTTTTGATGGACGATATGTTTTATGCAGTGGACCAGAGCGGTCAACTATATAAACACAAATATGAGGAAATGAAGAGTAAACGAACCACCAGTAAGAGATGATAGCTGCGGATGAAAGTAATTTTTTTCTCTTAATTTGTGAACCGTGATGATTCACTAAATATTAACCGCGATGGTGTTTTTATGCAACTTAGAATGACAAACAAGTTAACGGCCCACCTGATGAAAAGTGGTTTCCAAGAAGTTGTTCAGCGACTTAAAAAAAAAGAGGAGATATAGAGCACGTCAAGAGAATATTACTTATTTGCAGATAATGCATGCTAACGCCATAATTTTTGAACCAAACAGCAAGGTTTTTTGTTTATTATTACAATAGTCGTTCCTATTTTTCTTAATTTCTATTAATATTATAAATGTAAGAAAACAAACAAACATACCCATTTGTTTGTTACTCTATAACACTTTAATGGCTTAACAAATCACGATGCTATTATAGGCATCCCGTCACCCGTATCCAATAGCGTAAAAAAAAACAATCACTATGGAATTTGATATACGAGTATACTTACTATATGGGATGGAGAAGGTAACTTCTTTTTATCCCGGTTAAAAAATATATTTCGAGCACGCAGCTGAAGTCGAGGGTAAAAACTAATATTTATAAGAGTATACTGTTCTTGGTCAAAAGGTCTGGTATTTTTTTTTATACAACTTAGAATGGCAAACAAGCTGACGGCCCTTCTGATGGAAAGTGGTAACCCTCGCCTATACTGTTTCATCCATGATACCACCCATGCGTTGCCATTCCTGAGGACTCAGGTGTTATTCCTCTGTACCCAGTAAATTCACGCCATATCCCACCCTTCAAACCGAAACACAGCCATGCAAATACAGCTAAATTTATCAAATGTTGCCAAAATTGATAAATTTATCAATTTTGTCAACATTGACTTAACATGGCAATTTGGGGGAAAGGGATTTTTAGTAATGGGGTCAACTGCTCTATTGCTAGCAATATTCTATCAGGTCAAACTCCACGTGGTTCCCCCTGGAAACCATCGTGGTTAATTCTAGTTCAATCCATCACGATGGGCTAACTGACCTGCTTTCATCATCACCTATCATCCCTCACTGGTGCCCCGCCAGCGTATACCGTTAGCGCAGGCGGAGTTACAATTCCATTACCATTCATTAAAAAAAAAAAAAAAAAAAAAAAAAAAAAAAAAGGTCTAGTATCTACATCTTGTATCATAATTTTGAACTACTGAGTATTAAATTTGATGATATTGTTATGATGAATGCTTCTGCTTTGTAACAGTCATCTTTAATTACAAACTACGCTAATAGATGGCGCTGAAATTTTTGTACTGAATTTTATAATAAAACAGTTTATATTAAATTAAATTAAGTAATAATGATCAATAATTTTATTAGTTATGAAGATATATAATGATAAGTAAATTATTATGATTAGGTAAATACTTGCAAAATGCTCTTGTTTCTTATATCGACCAATTACCTATTAGAAAGAGAAGTCCAATTTTTGTTTTTATGTCATGCAGCTTTAAATTTCTGGCAGGTGTTATTGCCACCTGATAATTTAGAACAGGTGTGGAATAATTAATATAACGTGTATATTAAACAAGTAGATAATAATAAAGGATTATTTTTTTATTTTTATTATAATAATATGCAATGTTTGTTGCTATTAACATTACAAGAAAAACATGGAAATAAACCGAGTAGTCACCAGACAGAATATCAAGCATTATAAAACATTTGTGCTATAGATATATACAAACACACATGCAAAAAGAAGCGTACAGAAAGGAGCGAGTTTTCAACGCCAGCGCGTGCGCAGCGTCTCACACGCACACACGCAAACCTATAGATAACTTCATTCAAGATGTAACAGAAAACGTTTTAATTCGAACTTCACTCCTTTCGAGTAGACCGTATGATCGGTACTACACTTCAGTGACGTATAACCAAACAATCGTCGTTTCTATATTGTTTTGTCAATATCCTTTTGTTGTATTGATTGTTTGTGATCCAGGCAGACTGTAGTTAGATGTGATGTTGTGTTTTGTGATGAAATAGCATTTGTTAGTGTTCATTTATCATTTGTGTGATGGGTTATGTGTTATGTGTAAGTGCTGCGTGAAATCAAGTTTTACATGTCTTTTTTATGGTAAGTGAATATCGATATAGAACTATTAAAACCTCTAATAAATTGTATGTATTTATTTTTCATTTTTATTCAATTTAATTTGTAATACATTTTAAACATACAGAACGAATTTAATATTATTTTGCTCATAGTTTAATGCCGGTATAAGTAGGTACTCGTGCAAGAATGTAAGAAAAAAGATCTTAATAAAATACCTACATATATTTTATTGATTTTAGTATATTTTTTTTAAATTTAGAAACAATCAATTCTTTTTTATTGTAACCATGATTGGACAAATTTTTATTAGATACATTAGAAAAAAATTAACAAAAAAAAATATTGCCAAATAGATACATATTATCCAAAAATGTAGGCCAGTTGATAGATTCCTATTTGACAGAAATGGAATTAAGGCAGCCTACACTGCATGACAGTAGGCATTATTCTGTCAGATAATACTAATAATTACCCACTTGCCTTCCACCTAGTCTTTACTTTTAAGGGCTACACGAACATAATGTTTATTTCCATTATCCCCACGATCAAAATTATTATCTGCATTCTCTTTTACTTTGTTCACACTTGAAATTTTCTTATTGTTAAACACTGCATTTGTTGGAATATTTTCCTTAATATCTTCTCTAACAAAATGATTATTTTTATCATATTCTTTAAAAATCCTTTCTATTAGTTTATTAGTCGTTTTAGTTATTGATTTATCTGTAGTTTCAGTTATTTGTTCATTGGTAGCTACATTGTCTTTAGTCTTAGGCCAGTGTTTCACAAAGTCTGCACTAAGATCGTAAGATTCGGTATCGCGTCGCTTTCGGCGGCCAGAAACAACTCCAAGTTGCAGCAGAACTGGATTGGAGACGAGCGCAGCGGCTGCTCCCAATAAGGCGATCCCTGCGATGGGCCACAGCACAGTTTTTGCCGCAAGTGCCTGAAAAATAATTTAAGGTCAATGACATTAGGCAGCTACGATGATTTAAAGTGCTTATCTACTCGTATTTAGTTTTTTTTTTTAACTATCGTTACTCTTGTGAGGATAGTAGTCTTACAAGAGTAGTACTCTTAGGAGGAGTAGAATAGATAATAATGGATGATAACTTCGTCTGCGTTATCGGTATACGCTGGAGGGACCAGTGAGGGATGATGGTTGGAAATAGGTCAGATGACTCATCGTGACGAATTCATCAAGAATAATCACCATGGGTTTTAAGAGAATTTGCGTGTAGGTTGACCTGACACAATATATTGCTAGCATTAGGCCTGTTAGTCCCCAGTATTAGAACTTCCTTCCCCTCTAAGTATATATTATTGTATAATTGCAATGTTTTATTTCTTAATCTTGTTTATCAGGGGGGAAAGGGATTGTTAGTAATGGAGACTGAGAATCCCATTGCTAGCAATATACCCAACCAGGTCGACATCCTCACTGGTCACCCTTCACTGGTGCTCCGCCAGCGTATCCCGTTAGCGCAGGCGGGGTTACCATACCATTTTCACCCATCAAAAAAATCTTGTTTATCATCATATCAGCCTTTATCCAATGCTGAACATAAGCCTCCCCCTTGGGAGGTTTTACCAGTAATTGCTACGCTTGGCAGGCGGATTGGCAAGTGCAGGTTAGGCCTTGGAGATATTTTAAGTGGGACACTGCAGCCCATTTCTCACTCTCTCTTAGTTGACTCTTATAACACCCACGGGAAAGGAAGGGGTGGCCTATTCTATGCCGGGACCACACGGCAATAATCTGATTTATACACCTACCTAAATCCGGAGAGGAAGGAATTGTTTGTAATGGGGAGAAGCCCACTGATAGGAATACAAGTACACCATGTCAAGTTGATATCCAAGTTGATATAAACCATGGTGGATAATTCGTCACGATTATTCAACTGATAAGATTTCTTCACCTATCATCCCTTACTGGTACTCCGCCAGCGTAAAAACTAATAGCGCAGGCGAGTTACCATTCTATTTTAATATAAAACTCGTCTCATAGGAACTTGATTAATGTAAACGATGTAGATCAGCCTGCCTAACAAGGTAGCTTTATTGCTTACCGACCTACCTACATGTTTTAATCTGATCGCATTTATTTTAATACATACATCAAGACTTACATTAGTTATTATTATTGAATATTCTTTACTTGTACTAGTTATATTCGATCTACAATTCAGTTATTTCACCAGAGGGAGACTTTGTACAAAAGTCGTTTGCTTGGGTACCTCTGTCCCATTCGTGATTCAACCGTGAAGCAGTTGTGTTTGCATGGCTGTGTTTCGCTTTGAAGGGTGGGATATGGCGTGAATTTACTGGGTACAGAGCAATAACACCTGAGTCCTCAGGAATGGCAACGCATAGGAGGTATCATGGGCGAAACAGTATACTCTGTTATGTCCATGGTACTGCTCATGTCTATAGGCGACGGTTACCACTTTCCATCAGGCGGGCCGTCAGCTTGTTTGCCATTCTAAGTAGTTAAAAAGAAATTTGTAATATTTATTAGATTGTGTAAATGCAAAAAAGCAAAGAGCATAAATTCCTGTATTAGTTTTTTTTTAATGAATGAAAATGCTTTTCTGGTATACGCTGGCAGAGCACCAGTGAAGGATAATAGGTGAGGATGAAAGCAGATCAGTAAACCCATAATGA